ATTTGTCCAAGGATATTATTATTATGTGCACTATTTTACCAAAGGAGTTTTTTTTATTGTTTCTTTGTTTGTTTCTTGTCGTTATATTTTCTGCAAAAAAAATATCCGCAGATAAGAGAATATTGCATACAGAAATACATTTTGTACAATCTATTTGTATTGTAACCTAGTACATGGAAGTATACCGCAACACCGTGATATACTTGGATGCACTTGGCTTGGACGTGTATTCCGGTTTAAATAGTGAAACATAGCACTGAAGTGGTAGAGCAAGCTGTACGACCACACGTGGTTGTTCAGCTCGATTGGGCCGCTCGAACCGGGAAATACCACACCTCGGCAGAAAACCGGCGTTAAGCGTTATCGCGTTTCGCATGGTGAGCTGTAGGTTCCGGACGCCCCTGGCCCTCCCCCTTTCCTACTTCCATCCCCTACCCACCCCTTTCTTACATACCATGGCAGCGGATTACAAGAGATTTTTACCCCAGGGTGGTACCAGTAACCATGTTACTGGAGAATCCACCCCTGAGATATCACACTCAGGCTGCCCTGCGTATTCTGGGGTGGGCAATACTCCGCTCAATTTGGCCAAAAGGAAACCGAGCAAATCTCCATCGGCGTTTCCCTTGCTCATAGTCAGTTTTTGCAACATCAGGGGAATTCATTCCAATCTCAACGCCGTTCACCACCACCTAGAGACGGCGAGGCCGGCTTTGCTCTTCCTTACGGAGACCCAAATATCCTGTCCCGACGAAATTTCGTACCTGACCTACCCCGGATATAAATTGGAACACCATTTTATTCCACGGGCCGGTGTGTGCGCTTATGTCAGAGAGGATATTTGTTGTCGCCGTCTTGGTACACTTGAAGGTACTGACCTGTCCATTTTATGGTTGCGTGTAGATTGCGATGACCACCCCCGCATCTATGCATGCTTATACAGGTCCCATAGCGGTAACACCGAAACTGACCGACTCATTGAACACGTCCAAATGGCTACAGATTTTTTGCTCCAACAGATTCCCTCCGCTGAGGTCGTGATTCTAGGTGACTTCAACGCCCATCACGCTGAATGGCTCGGTTCACGTACCACCGACTATGCGGGGAGATCTGTTTATGGCTTTGCTTTGGCATATGGTTTGACGCAACTGGTATACTCGCCTACGCGAATTCCTGATGTTGTTGACCATATACCTTCACTGTTGGACCTTCTGCTGACTTCTCATCCGGACGGATATCAGATCTCTGTGGAAGCCCCACTGGGATCCTCTGATCATTGTCTGATACGGAGCGAAGTGCCTCTCACGCGTCATTCTTTGCCGCGATCTATTGGTCGACGTCGTGTTTGGCATTTTAAGTCGGCAGATTGGGATGAGATGCGAAGTTTTTTTGCATCTTACCCATGAGGGCGAGTTTGCTTCGCACTGGACGATCCTGATGCAATAGCTGAATCTGTCACCGATGTAGTACTTCAGGGAATGGAGATGTTTGTTCCTAATTCCCTGGTACCTGTCGGTGGTAGATCTCAGTCCTGGTATGGCGGATCCTGTAGATCGGCGTCGCGCCATAAGCAGGAATGCTTCCGTGCCTGGATTGCAGCTGTGAAGTCGAGTGATCCAGATACCAGTGCCCATAAAAGGAAGTATAACTCCGCTGCCAGGTCCTTCAAAAGAGTTATAGCCACAGCAAAGTCGGAGCACATCAACAGAATTGGTAGGAGACTGAACAGTCTTCCATCTGGATCCCGGGCTTTTTGGTCTCTTGCCAAAGCTGCTCAGGGAAATTTCTGTCAGCCATCTTTTCCACCACTGCGCAGAGAGGATAACTCGTTGGCCCAACATGCTAAAGAGAAGGCCGATCTCCTTGGGTCTCTTTTTGCATCCAACTCGACACTGGACGAAAGGGAGCAATCACCGCCGGTAATCTCGCGGTGTGAGACTTCTATGCCAGAGGTAAAATTTACCCAAAAGCTGGTACGTAAGTCTCTTTTTTCCCTAGATATCCACAAGTCGAGTGGGCCTGACGGTATTCCTGCTATTGTGCTCAGGACGTGTGCACCTGAGTTGGCTCCGGTACTAACGCGTCTTTTCCGGTACTGCTACTCTACAGGTGTAGTCCCGAAACTTTGGAAGACGGCTTTGGTTCATCCAATCCCTAAGAAGGGAGAACGCTCAGATCCAGCTAACTATAGGCCCATAGCCATCACCTCCTTATTCTCAAAGATCATGGAGTCGATTGTCAACCGTCAACTCCTACGATACCTAGAAGTGAACCAGTTGATTTCGGATCGTCAGTATGGCTTTCGCCAAGGTCGGTCGGCTGGTGATCTTCTAGCGTATTTGACACATCGATGGGCAGAGGCTATTGAGAGTAAGGGGGAGGCCCTATCTGTCAGTCTGGATATTGCGAAGGCCTTTGATCGGGTTTGGCACAAGGCTCTTCTTTCAAAGCTACTATCCTTTGGGTTGCCTGCGAAGTTATGCAATTGGGTCGCCAGCTTTCTCGCTGATCGGAGCATCAAGATCGTTGTCGATGGTGCTTGCTCCGACCCACACTCTGTGAATGCTGGTGTTCCACAAGGCTGTGTGCTATCTCTGACTCTGTTCCTTCTGCATATCAATGACATGTTACAAGTCAACAACATTCATTGCTATGCGGATGACAGTACCGGAGATGCCTTGTACAGCGGCCATGCTAATATGTCGCAGGCAAAAGTTATAGAGTACCGGAACAAACTTGTGTCTGAAATCGAAACTTCACTCCATCAAGTTTCGGTTTGGGGTCTGAAAAATTGTGTTCAATTCAACCCCAAGAAGACATAAGTTTGCGCGTTTACCGCTAAAAAGATTCCATTTATTGTATCTCCTTAGTTTCAAGACACTCTCCTTGATGTGAAGCCAAATCTCGAGGTCCTTGGCGTTGATATATCCAGTGACGTTCAGTTTTGCGGTCATTTGGAGGACAAGGCTAAAATAGCCTCAAAAAAGCTTGGTGTGCTCAGTAGAGTGAGACGGTATTTCACGGCGGCCCATCGCTTGCAATTATATAAAGCGCAGATCCGGCCGCATATGGAATACTGTTCTCATCTCTGGGCGGGAGCACCACAATACCAGCTACTTCCATTTGACCGCATTCAGAACCGAGCAGCCAGAATCATTGGTAATCAACGTCTATGTGACAGACTCGACCCATTGGCTTTGCGGCGAGATATTGCATCTCTGTGCATTTTCTACCGCATATATCACGGGGAGTGTTCTGAGGAATTGTTCGGATTAATACCAGCTACTGAGTTTCAACACCGTACCACCCGCCAGAAACTGAAATACCATCCTGATCATCTGGATGAATGGCGGTCTTCCACAGTACGGTTTTCTAGAAACTTTTTGCCCCGCACAACCACATTGTGGAATCACCTTCCAGCAATGGTATTTCCGAACCGATACGATATTGAAACCTTCAAGAAAAGAGCTTATTCCTTTTTAAAAGGCCGACAACGTACTTGCAATTCCCCTGGTGTTGCGGGTGCTCATGGGCGGCGGTAATCACTTACCATCAGGTGAGCCGCATGCTCGTTTGTCCCGTGTTATAAAAAAAAAAAAGTCATCGTGTACTGTGATTCAAAATAACAATACGCTAATGAGACCGGTTACCATCAGGCGGACCATATGTTTCATAGGTACTCTATAAATTTATGTCAATTAGGGGCAATAGGTACTCTCTCTGTTTCAATGAGACGGAGTGAGTAACATAGTTATTTAGTGCTCATGAGTCACGGTATTGTCATGAGTCAGGTTTTATTTATAACGATGTAAGATTTAAAATGTGACTGTTGATTAATTAATGTTTAGAATATTAAACTTTCAAGTTAAAGTAAAACTATTTTTAGCGCGACTCATGCTTTTAATATTGATTGTTCCGTGGCGTTAGCTCAGGATTTGAACTATACTCTTTGACTCGTCAAAGTTCTCAACGATATGTCATATTTGACTTCTTTCCTTTATACGTCAAAATGTTGTAGGATCTAGAACTAATATTTAATCTGTGATACAGACTATACAAAGACCAAATTGGCCAAGTAACTATTGTAGCTTGTAAGAAAAAACATTTAAAAATAGAGAATTTACTCGTAAATAGCCTTGCGATTAAAAGCTGAATTATTAAAATTATAATTAATATATATAAATATATATCTTTTTCTTAAAAAATATTGGTATTTTAATTGTTTGTATCTGTTTCATTTTAATATATAATTGCTAAAACTTACGGAATAAGCGGTTATGTTTTTTTTTTATAATTGAAACTATATAATGAAAAATACATAAAACCAGTTGAGTTTCTGGTCAGTTTTTCTCTAAATAAGAAGTTAGATGAACTGGATGGTACGCACAGTGTTAAAAAATTTATGAAATCAAAATTATAATATTGCATTGCAATGATTAATTCTATTGCAATGATCTCACATCTCACAATGAATGTTGTCAAAAATATGTAGATTATAGTATTATAGAGCTAACAGAATTACAGAGGCCGTATAAATAGTTAATTATGTAGGTTTTATTTACTGTTGTCTATATAGGTAATAGGTACAATATATATTTTATTTCCATCCCATTTCGATGACAGATTATTTTAGTCATTGACAATGAAAATAAATAGTTAGAACATATGTGGTTCTCATAATTTAATTGATACAGATGGGGTGTCAGAGGAATTACCTTTATGAATTATTGCAATGTCAAGAGTGACGAATAGGTAACGACCTAATGTTAAATTTATAGGCACTTTCCTAAATACATTCGAATCTAAGGTAGCTGGTAGTGAACCTTCAACCAACATACTTAATATTAATAAAAAAAATACCTACTGTTCGTAACATATCCAACTAAAATGGAAGGGCGTCATAACGGAAAGGGTTAGTCACAACGGATTAATTGGGGTATACCTGTCAGCATACTCTCGGTTGAAATAATTAACAACTCAATGTTTTCATAATTTTATTTCGTGTATTTTTATTACGTATATTGTTTAACTTACTTCATATATAAATAACTTAATGAAATAGAGCATTCAATATTAGTAATGCAAGTTTAATATCTATAAATATAACAATATTATATTATTCGAGATTGTAATATACAAAATCACAACAATGGTTAATCATAAAGTCTTATTGGTTTTATTGCTGGATTTTATATTGCTTACAATAGATGTTAATATTAACTTATAAACTTACTTTAGCTATAGGAACATTATAGTTTAACATTATATTTATGTTTCAAAACAAATTTCTTGTATAAAATACAATTTCATGTCAATCACAACAAAAGGCTTGAGCAAAATAAACACGAGGTATCGGTCCACTGACGTACTTTGGCTCATAATTTGGCAAAAAGTTCCACCGTTTCGTCTACGGTATTTGCGTATTTTCTCTGTAATAGCAGCACGAAGCGTATTTATACGACTTTGCTGAAAAGTCTACTGAAATGGCGAGATGCCATTAAAATGTATGTCGTTTCTAGTAATGGGGTAAAGTGCAGCTACCCTATTCTTTGTGGAAAGAATTCGAGAGGTTGAGGGTTGGTTTGTGGAGGCGGTGTTGGTGGAATGTCATGTTGTGGCTTCAGTAGGCAAGGGTCACCAGTTTCTTGTTGCATATCGACTTCACCATTCTTCTGACCTTTGACTGGTGTCAAATGCAGAAGGGGTAGTTGATTTTTCGGACACACAGGCTGCCTATCTGCTTTTGGCTGCATTTTGTCTATTTAAAAAAAACAAATATTAATTGATCATTATATTTTCTTGAATAAGCAAGAGTTGTGTCTAAGACTTTGTGACTTACACTAAAGAAATCGTAATAACGTGATTATTTAGTGCATAGAGAAATTTAATAAATGAAACTAATATTTATAACCAATGTAATATGTATTAGATGCTGAAAATAATTTAATTAATATTAAATTTTCTAAAGACTCTATTATAGAGGGTATATCAATAGAATAAAGATATTAGAAATAAATTAAACGACTGAAATAAATAATATCATGACATAATGAAAATAATAGCATAACGTGATAGAAACTTACTTTGAATGTCCAAACTTATATGTTCCAACTTAGAACTTATAATGTCAACACCTTTTACGAACATTTGGTTATTTTATTTGATTATTAACAATTCACTTAGCACCGTGCAGTGGTTTGATACGGAATGACGAGGGTTTCGCAAACGATGCTACTTTATATCGGCACTGACTCACATTTGGCAAGAACGACTCTATCTGAGACCACGTCACCGGCCGCTGGCGGCCACTGACGCTAGATAGAATGACGCCAATCGAGTTTTCCTTGCTACGTACCTACAGTACATTTCAAACCATTTATAATGACATCTACGTAATATAGTAAATACTGTATCGCACAATTTTTAGTTCTATTTACATAAGTAACATTTTGTGGTTTGGTATTATTCCGACATTATTATTACGATTAATAACGTAATGTTATGTTCGCATATTTATAACAAATCTTATTTTATCTATTTGACTGTTAGGCGTACCATGTATATTGTCTATTTTATATAATATTAGCGATATTTTTAGTATTACTATATAGTGTTCTATTTTATTTATTAAACTAGTTTTTCTAATATGACAGATCTTAGTCTCGTATAACTGAATAAAATATATTCAGATTTACGAGACTATTTTCCCTAAGAAAAGTTTGTCAAATTAATTACACAGATAAACGGACAAAAAAACAATAGTTTTAGTTATTGACATGTCTTTAAGAAACTGCACCTCAGATTTCGGAACACGAGTAATTGTTGTCTGGTTTCTTTGTTTGTAATTTCAATCAAAATGACAACAGTAACTGTTCTAATTACGATTTTAATGTCTCCAACATAGAGCATGGGCGTCACGGGTAATACGAATATACTATGACGTCAATGGTAAATGGTATCTTACCCTTCGTGAACGGTCGGTTGTTTATTTGTTTGGCAATTCGAATGCACATATTACAAAAACAAACAATATATTAAACATTCCTTTATCTATTATTATGCCTCTTATATTATGATACTAGACTAGCTGTCACAGTAATCACGATTATTATGCCACATTAATCAATTAATCTAAATAAATAGACAAAAAAATGTAGAGTTATCAATAGTATAATAATCCTATATTTTTATACAACTTTATAATAAAATTTTACAACTTAGTAAAAGTAATAGATATAATGAAAATATTTGTAATAAATTGTTATTTTTTTTAATTATTTTTACGAAAGAAAAATTATATTTTATACAATATACTGTATATTGTATAAAATATAATTTTACTTTTTTGAGTACTAAAATCCAAATAGTGTTATAGACGTGTGAATTTTCATTAATTTATTATTGTTGTTGTAGCGCGATGAGTATTGTCATATTATAATACTAGATTTATTAGATTTTTAATAAAAGTGTAAATAATATAATTTAAATTAACTTCTCATATGTTCATAGCTGTCCTTTACCTTTCAGTTTACTACAGTGTACTTTCAGTTACCTAAATAAATAAGGATTCAAACTATAATAATAGTGTAATATTATTAAAAAGTTATGAGAACACGTGGAACGTTTATTGACATAGGTAATTGTCACGCTAGCTGATATTTTGCAAATATTGTCGTTGTCGGTCTTCACTGAAGGCCTACTGTTCACCTACATTGTATAACACGTTGTTCGTGATAGTGTAATATCAAGGTTGCCAAGGTCGGGCCCTCCCAAAGTGAGTAACTCATAGGAGTGCCGAAGTACCTGCATGTCTAATCAGTCTACTCACTACGTGATGAAAACATATATGTATTAAGATTCTTTTACTAAAATTACAATCTATGCTATTTAAAGTTCAATATAAATACTTGATTAGCTGTCTGATAATGTTGTAAAGCTCCGCTTCATTATGTGGTAAAGATAATATATTTATTACATACTTAACTTCGAGAAATGTATCTGCGTCATGCAATGCCATTGCAGATGTTCTCGAAATGAATACGTTCATTCTAATGTACACGTAAAAAGAAACATATAAGTACGTACAAAAGGTGCGTACTGTAGTTTATTATTATTATATATTATACTTTATTTATGACGAGATTTTGTTCACGACTTCGTCTCTATGGTGTGGTATATATGATATTGATAATGATGATTGATAGGGATTAAATTCTTAAATTCTTCTACTATATGCCATCAAGTGGCAAATAATGTTTTGAACATATATTTTATATTTATAATATTGGTGGGAATTGTATAAAAAGTAATCATTGTTGTTAGTAAGTGAAGTATCTAAGGGTAAGTAATCTGATATAGATTACTTACCCTTAGATACTTACTTAGATATGATATACATTCTTTTACGAAATGACACTACAGTAATTTCTAATCATATCTGTGCATATTTATTGTCTATGAAAATATCTGAGTATAAACAACAGGAGATGACTCATAAATCCCATGATATGAAGAGTTTGAAAATTCAAGAAATTATATTATGATACGGCATAATTTAAAAGAAAGAAATTATCGCAATTGATTACGTTACATATTTGTAAAGTGCCTGTGAGACATAACCAACGCGTCATTTATACGTGTACTTAAAAAAAACTGTTCAATGAAATTTAAAGTACATTCTTACTGAACATTTACAGTATAGTACACAGTGTTTATTTTTGTTATGATGATTCATTATAATATGCCACTACATAGTGAGAAATGAGAATGTATTAAAATTAAACATTGAACAAATCGATCGTTTATCCTAAAAATTACTTATGTGTATGATTTCGAGTTTTCGCATACTATAATAATAGCTATGTATATTTGTTTATTTACATTACACATAGCAAGTCTATTTCAATTTATCCCATGACGTAAGTATCTAATTTCATACATAAATATAAACTTTTCATTAGAATGTTGTTGATGTTTTTTCATAAATAAACGTCTAGGGATAGTTTTACTAAATCAAACTAATATTATAAATGCAAAAATGTCTGTCAGTCTGTTTGTTTGTTATTATTACATGGCCAAACGGCTTATCAGATATTAATAAAATTTGACGAAAAGATAGTTCATACAAGGACGACTATAGGCTATATTTATAACAATGAGTGGAAAAAGCCGTTGTTAAAAACATTTTATTTTAAGTAAAATATTAAAAAATCTTCTGATTGTTCTTGGACTATGATTGTCACTGATGAAACATGATAAACGTGATGTGAGTTAAATAGTTTTCATTATTACTCGTATAATAAAATGCAACATTATTTCAGTAAATATATTAACAGTTGTAGAAGTTAGTGAAGAAAATCGTTATTTACATTTCTCAATTAGACGTAGCTACGAGCAGGCTTTATTGAAGTAAAATATACACCGATAGTGAAAAATATAATCTTGTTCCGTTGAACATTTACCTGATGATGTATTGAATTAAAGTTCAATATTGTAATTTAATGATTTCTTTTGATTCATATCATATTCATTTCATAGTTTGTCAATTTTCACGTCATTTGAAATGTTTATTTGCATATGAATCACTATAGTGATGAACAATTCGGAGTTGATTTACGTACATTGTACGTCTGTGGTTATCTTATGTCTAATCCTAGGATTTAGAATATCAATTGACGACAGTGAATTATCAGTGAGCAACACCCAATAACATGTCCATGAATATAATATAGATACAACACTAGATACAAAATATAACCTATATTTTTACTTTACAATCGTTTTACTATTACTTTGCTACTAAATTGACTGAATTCATTTCAATACGATGTAGTATTTGATGTATTCTGATTATGATATGATTTCGTGTCTTTAATATCCTTTATTTATTCTTATAAAAATATCCTTATTTTATGCGTAGATATATTTTGTTTTGTGTATGCGTATATGCCTTTAAAAACAGCTGTTGTGGCGTTAGACAGAATAGAAGGTATGCTTTGATAGGTTACATAATGGAACAATTAACTGCCTTAATACATAATTAAAGGTCTATTTATGTGCAAAAGTTTTGATGTGACATATTTTTTTAAACAATTTAATGGTACCAAGACATGAAATTGCTTTATTATTGTAATAATATGTACGATTAACACAACACTCTTTGCCAGGGCGTGCAGACAATTTATTATCACTTTATATATTATAATACTAGCTGTGCCCACGGTTTCACTCGCATAAAATTTGTAGCCTATGTAATTATTCTGATGTATAATTCCATTGCTATAAACTTTCATTAAAACCGGTTTGGTAGTTTTTGCAGTGTAACAAACATCCATACTCACAAACTTTCACGTTTATAATATTAGTAGGATTTTCTATGTAGTAATATTATATATAGGCATAATAAAACAATGTAGCGATACCAAGTAGATTTTATTATGTATATTCCGTTGTAGCGTGTTAGATTTTGACAGACGTACATATATGTACCGCACAAAAGTGGCACTTGACGGTTATTGTAGTTTTATGTTCATTCCACAATATGGTGACGTGTCATATGTATATTTACCATAGCCTCTGGATATATATAACATATTCATTTCAACACTTGTCACGAAACAGTAGATTTGTCGTTGTTACAAGCGTCAGCAAAGCACATCACTATGTATTGGTAGATTTTATGCGCGACTGCGTAACTAATAAAGTTTTGTTTTTTATAGTTTCAAGGAGATATCGCAAATAAGCGATCGCCTCGCCGGGTTGAAGAATTATGACATATTATTCAATATTTATAGTTTGAAGATTTTAAAGTAGAACTTCAAGTATGGAGACAAACAACGCCAATCGGGTAAGCCTCGTGACGTCACGAGAGCACCGAATGTCGTTATTGCACATAATATTTCACATATACCAGGGTTGCCAACCTTTATCAACTATTTAACTCTTATAAAATCTCGTATATTAGCTGAATTTGATTTGTACATCAACCATTGTATTTTGACAGATTTTGGTAATCCAAATCTCGAACAAGGTTGTGAGAATGTCCTCGTACAGAAGACTAAAAGTTTTGGACTTGTTCGTGAATCCTAGTTCGGTTAGCATCCCTGACATATACATATATTATCTAAAGTAAAATAACGTTTACAACATTTATATGAACATTTTCATTTATTTAATAATAGAAGTAACTATCTGTATCGAAGGACATAAAAGAATTTTACCAACTTTTATTTAGCGCTTAAACGTCGTTCATTATTGTTCGCTTTGTAATGAATCGGTGGAAACCCCTTGTAAAAGAAATTCTATGTTTGGATAAAATAAAAGTACCTACTGAAGCTTTCAGACGCTCCAGTACTATTAAAGTAATCAATTGGAAAACTGCTTACCATGATAAGCTAAATGAAATGCCTACTATTCTTATAAACTGCTGAAACTGTAATTTCCGACTATCCGAATTAAAAGGCAAATTAAAAATTATTTGCAATATTAGATCATAAATAATAAATATTTAATAATTGTGATCTAACATAAATAATAAAGCATTAATTAAATATTTTTTTAGGTTACCATAAGTATCTACTTATTTTAAAGTTAATTATATAATAAATAAAGACTTACTACTACTACTTTAACATTCTCGTGAAGCCAGAGATAGCCACAAAGAAAAAATACTCATCGAGATATTTATATTTTACTGATACAATGTTGTCCTTCGTCTACATAGATTTATTATCAAATAAATCGGAGGTTTACAATATCGTGCCGAAGTAAAACATGAATTTCGCGGTTATAGTATTTGATATTTTGACAGAGTTCGTTGACGAGAGCAATAAGTACAAGAATAATCACGCGATGAGGACGTCTCTAACAAAGAAAAGTGTATTTTCTAATGCAATTTCGTGGTTTAGGTAAAGAATACAATGTTGATTAGATCGGCCGATACTTCAATGTCATTATATATTTTACAAACGAACAGTTATCCTATGGAAAAATATGTTGCAGCTTATTACAGTTACAATGTTTAGGCTATGACTAGTATCAAGGATTTGCTGATAATAATCCAGTTTAATTACATTGTTTTTCATGTCTTTTATTTAAGATGTACGTCACGCTTATCTTGAATTACCGAATCATCGTCGATGACAGAATAACTTTTCACGATAGTCTTTATGGACTTTACCTCTAAACAGATAACATTATTATAATTTTCCATTATTATAAATGAGTTGTTATTGTTTTATTTAATACTTGTAAATTAACATCGTTTAAAATATTATATATGAAAAGTTTTTGCTCAAATGATTACCTCATTCGTACATATTTTATTATAAAATATGTTATTTGTTAATATACCTACCTACTTCAGATACTCAAATACTATAGAAATATTTGAATATCTGATACTGTAGCATATATTTATTCTTTCTCACAAAGATATAGAAGTTTTTCTCTATAAATAGAAGCCATCTAAGAAACAGATTGTACTATGGGTAGGTACATACTCAAAGAACTTATATTTTTTATACCTTATTGACCTAGTAACCGAGTTTCTGACAAGGCATCTATCGAATGTATCGAAGATCTTCACTATTATCCATTCTATTTTTAATATTTTTACGACTTTTTTTTATTACAACGATATGTTTCTGATTAAATTGTTTCCGAATTAAATATTTAGCCATCCCGTATAATACGATTGATGATTTTAAGTATTTTTCTTTGAATGTTATTAAGTGTAAAATATTCAAGCATAATTGCGTAAATATTATCTATGAACGCACGTAACGTATGTGTAGGGTATCTATTATTTTCAAGATTACAATCATGAAAGTAATGCGTTGATTACTGTAAATAAGTCCAAAATACAGTACCTACTGGTATTATTAATTTTATTTTCTGTATAGATAGATGAGGAGTTTGCTTTAATGTAGATCATTCAAAAATTTTGGTCATGTTTAGTTTCTTTTCATATTTTTCAAGTATATACGGACCTATGGGGTGGTGACAGCGCGACCATCGCCGCCCCGCCCCTCTTCTGTGTCGATGCGATATCGTGTTCAATCATTCTTATTTCGTGCATTTTACCAAATCGCGAATATTAAATAGACATTTTGATTGTGTGACAATATCTTAGTTCGTTGCCCCGAATATTAATATAATTTTGATAAACTAAATATCGTTAAAAGTTCAACATAGTATTATATCTACTTATTAACAGAATTTTTTGTTGTATCTATAAATATTATCTAATAGAAATAAATGTTTCCCAAAGTTCTAAAGGTCTATAACTTTTATTAATTTTAACTTTACAAAATGAAGATGTGTCGGATTTACTTAAAATCAGGAAATTTTGGGGACCTCCAATCTAAATAATTTAACTTGGGTATCATTTAAGCTATCGCCAATTTAATTAGTTTTTTGTTTCTTAAATAATAGCGTTTGCCCGCAAAATAGTAGATTTGTCACCAAAATGTAGTCACAAAACAATATAAAATCAATACCACAATAAATCACCTAAAATCATGGTTGGATTTTAGGTGGAAGTAGGGTGGATGGATGGATATAGGGTCTAGTAGCAAATAAATGTTTTGTATGTATTATAATAGGTTTGTCCTAATAAGTATTTAAGCAAACTAATTTAAAGAGATCACCAATAAATCATGATGATGTCACTGGAAAATTTCATAAAGTTCCTACTACTTAACTAGAGATATGCATCCCCAAGGATCGTAATTTACACAGGTAGCATAAATATATTTTAATAAAGTTTCTAGCAAATAGTAAATAAAACACTTAAAGTAAATAATCAGGGCAGTTGCATTTCAATGCAGGTCAATTTTTAAATATGTCTCTGCCTCTTTGAACATATTTTCATTAACGTAATAACTTGATGTATTAAATTGGTAACGAATTAAATTAATAACTGTACGAAATAAAATGTTACTACTGTATTGGGACAAACTAACAAATAAAAAGGAGTCACAGTCATGGATCGATAATCGATTTATCTGGTGACAGATCTACCATACTGAGCACAAAACTATTATTTAAGTAATAAAACTGTAATTATAAGATTACAGTTTATATTCATCTACCTCACTACAATTTTTTTGGTAATCCATCTCTTATTTTACACATATATTAACATTAATTTGATAATTCATATCTGGGAATAATTTTTGTGTATCTGAGAACGAAAATATATCGTGGCGATAGATCTATTTATTAGGTGATACAACTTGATGACAAATATAAATTTTGGTGACAAGAAATATAGTCCCCATTTAACTTTATATATATTTGTTTTTATAATACTATTTTATTGTAATACAAAATTAAGCATAAATAATAAATAACTTTAGTTTACTGGAAACATATTATTTCATGGTTTATGTACAAAGTACTACATAGATGAAACAGGTAACAACATACAAATTTGTTTTTAGGTATGAGTTAGGTAGTTTAGAACAAGTTACAATATAATGAGTTTCCTTTTAATTCAAGAGATTATGATATCTAAATTGAAAATCTTGTTTGTTAGAACTTAAATACGGTACAACTTCATGTACATTATGTAGGTACCTAGTATTTAATACAAAATTAATTAAAGTTTGGGATTTGCCTCGATCCAGCGTAATTATATGTATATATAGGTATGTTAATATTTTTTTTATTATTTGCTTGTATAGGCACCGGGAGAGACACGGCCTCCAAGTGCTAATTCATACGGTACGGAGTCCTCAGGATTAGCCCAACCTGCTCGTCCAACATTAAATAGAGCTGATTCAAGGACAGCCTTTCCTCAGCAGTTGTTAAGACCAGGAGTCCCACCGCAAGCTCAACCAAGACCTCAGTTTCAACCAGGAGGGCAGGTCACTAGCCCACCACAACTTGCACCTCGTCCAGGGACACCGCTACAACGAGGTCCAGTGCCATCGGGACAATCTGTACCGCAACAACCACGACCACAGCAGCCTCCATTGCGACCATCTGGTCCCCATTCTATAGCTCCACAGCAGGGGCCGAGACCTCTTCAACCGGTTAATACTCCTCAGCCACTACAAAGAGGTCCACCGCCTAATAATCTTCAATTTGGTCCTAGACAACCACCGATATTTGGTACTGCTACCACTCCAGACGCTGCAAGACCACAAATACCGCAACAATTTAACGGTGCTCCTAGGAACGGTTCGCCTGCTTCTGGGGCAGTATCATTGTCCCGACAAACAACGGAAAGCTCTGCAAAGGGCTTGAATTATACAAATCCGCAAAATAAACCAGTCAACCTGGATAATCAAAGTGCTTCAAATGAATTTCAAGCCATCAATAAGACCGAAAATGGCATTGAAATTCCTGGAGTTAATAAAGGCAGAAGTTACAGCATTGCTGCCGCTCCTGGGTCTCCTAACCCATTTAAACTGGACGAAGATCGACGAAAATCTGTCAGTTCCATAGGTGGAAAGATGGAAGAATTTTGTAGTCGCAGTCCGGGATTGGGCTTGATTCAAGAGGGAAAAATTGATAGTAGAGATAACATACGCAGCTCTAAAGAAAGCATTAGATCAGAAGCTTCTAACGACGGAGGAAAAGATATACCCGATCGTCCGGAATCGAGACTTTCTGGTTCGAAAATGACTGAATCATTTATAGGGTCATTGTCTAATTCAAATATTAAGAAAAAAAATGACGACGATGAAGATGTGGTCTTGCAAAACAACTTGACATCAATTAAAAATGGAAAGGAGGCGGCAAATAATCAGCAGAAAAATGAATTTTTGGATCGTTCACCTTCATTGACCCGAAGTGATGACTCGCCCGAACCGAAACAATTTGTTTCAAATAGTCCTGCGCCAATAAATAAATCTCAAAGTGTAACACCAGACCCCCAGCGTCCTAAAACACCTAAACTCGATATAAAACTGGATTCAAATAAAGATGTTAAATCACCAGTAACACCAAGTAAAATTACTTCAAAGTCACCAGTGTTAGAATCCCATTCATTCAATAAAAAGCAAATTGATTTAAATATGCCCATAACGCCAACAGATTCTAAGAAATCCACTCCTCGAAGAGTAGCTTCAGCACCAAAAACTAGGCCTAAAGGTAACGCATAACTTTTTTGAGATGAGCCAAATAAATGTTTGTTTATTAATCGGTACAAGGTGTTGTTAGCGTCCATGAAACTGAACAAACATCAAGAAATATGAAAATATTTTTATACCATTTATGAAATATTAAAAATTATGTCGAACACGTAATCAGTGGAAGTTGTTCAGTTACATTAATGCACTCGCCTGCGCTAATGGTTTACGCTGGCGGGGCACCAGTGGAGGATGATAAGATGAACATGAGGTCAGGTCAGTTAGCCCATCATGACAAATTTACCAGGAATTTGTCACGATGGTTTCCAGGGGAACCGCGTGGAGGTCAACCTGACATGGTACGTTCCTAGTAATGGGGTCATGAGTTCACATTACTAACAATCCCCTTCCCCCCTATTATTACTGATATCCGAGTACACTATATATTTATTTTTATATGAATAAAATTTATATTCACTTTTCAGAAGGCGACAATGACAGTGGGGTAGATGAATCCACACAAGGAAATGTAAGTAAAGAATCTGATTATGGAACCTATTTCTTAGTTTTTCCTTAATATATATTATTATTTTATAAATCAGAAAATTAAATTAGTCTATAGGGTATTTTGTATGTAGGTATGTTGACAATTATTAGGATTGATTTTATAATGAATTCAAATAAACGATTATTTTTAATTTATATCAATTTATTAATTAAATATGTATAAAATTAATAAAAACTTTTCATGATATGTACATATTATTATTTAATATTATTCTAGATGTCCTTCATCAAGGCTATTATAATGGCCTAGTGAGGACATCAGTGATATTACACAATGTTGAGAATTCTGTAATAACAGATCATAAACTTATATTATGCAGCTAAAAAGTGTAATATTCCATTCCCAAAGTCGAGCTATCGTAGTAAGCTAGATTTACATATTTATTTTAATTTTATAATGTATAGTAATTTCTTAATAGAGTATTGTTTTATTTACTTTTTGTAGGACCTGAATGGTTCTCCAGGCTCTCCAAATAAAAGTAAGGTGCCGACCAAATTACCAACCAAAGAAAAATCTAGCAACAGTCTCAAGCCCAGTTTGTCTAGATCCTCAAGCAAAAGTGCTACTGCTAAAACACCAGAGAATCCTCTGCCTACAGAAAAGAAAAGTAAGTGGTATAATTTTTGTTTGATTTCTATGAATAATAACTACATACTGACCTGGACTAGATTGAGTGAACATTTGTAATGTCAGTAGAAAAAAATGGATATCTTAAGACTGTCCTTACTCCCTTGTGACTTATTGTTCTTGTATCTGCTAATTATTCTTTAGGTCAGTAAAATGTGCTAAAATAAATTACTAATTATAACTATATAATTGTTTCTTTTATATACTATAACGGAAAATTATTGTTAATTTACAGAAGTCCCTATGAATAAAGTACAAGTGGGCAACGCGCCCTCGCCCAACATTAAAACAGTAAAATCAAAGATCGGTTCTCTTGATAACGCAACCTATAGACCTGGAGGAGGCAAAATAAAGATTGAAAACAGAAAATTAGAATTCGGAAATGTGACACCCAAAATTGCAGCTAAAAATGATGCTTATACTCCCAGTGGTGGTAGCAAGAAGGTCAGTAATAAAAAATAAATAAAAACGAATAAAGTAAATAATGAACAATGATATTATATAATTACATAATTACTAATAGTGATATTTTTTTATGTGTAGATCGTAACCACAAAATTGGAATGGAATGCTAAATCTAAAATCGGTTCCCTCCAAAATGCTGCATACAAACCAGGTGGTGGTGATAAGAAAATTGAAACAGTCAAACTCGATTTCAAAGATAAAGCGAAGCCCAAGGTAGCGTCGACGGTCAACATCACTCACAAACCAGGCGGAGGAGCAGTCAAGGTAACTACTATGTTCTGAATATCATAATAGATATTTACCATGAATGTAAAACAAGCAATGTAGTATCCACTATCAGGTATTCGTTTCAAGTGACTACAGGGCTGCAGTGAGTATGAGAACTTTTAAAACTATTCATATAGAAACACATAAAATGTTCATTAATAGAACTTGGAATAAGTAGGTAGACACCGTTACGTGCAATTACAAAAAATGCAATAATCAAAACAATAAAGTACACTGCACTTAACGCAAACGTAGGTAGACTCGTATTCGTAGTTAGTAGATAGATCAGGCTCTTAGGTTGTAACTTACTATATATAACTTTGTTATTCTTTAGTCAACAGTTACAAAGAACGGAACGAGAGCCGTGAGTAAAATTATCTTATATTCAAAATGTCCGCTTAAGTTTTAATGTGTGATCACACCACACGATGCACTATGTTTACGTATAATTTACTTTAAGTCGATAACTATGTGGTAATTAACATACCTTGACAGTCGTTCGTGGTGAAAATATAGTTAAGTGTCGTTATTGTTTTTAGTATGTAAAGTGGGCGTTGCCAAGGTGGAGGGCATCACATAAACACTTTGCCTCCCATTCTTTATGGAGTAAGGTCAGTTTGGTACATCATGATCGAAAGTGGTATATAGGTTTTCGAGAACCTTCTCGTTTCATGTGATGATACCTAGGGATTTGTTGCGGCTGATATTTACACGCTATATGTTCTGCTTTCAAGTGAAATGATAACAGTGAATGTGTCATGCAACCATAGAGAAGTTAGACGTCCGGATTGTTTCAGAGTTACTTGTGCTATTTATTTAAATTTTAAATATTTATTTTTTTACACTTATAATTTTATTTACACGTTATTTATTATCACAGAATGCCGGTTTAGTGTTTAAATAAAAATAATCTTCGAAAGACACGCCGATCGTAGAGGAGCGACATCTCTTCATACACAATTCACATGAACATGGACGACTCGCATGGCAATTGATATCAACCTTGATTGATAATGTCATACATACATGCATCTTCTCTTTAAAAAAGCAGCATGGGTCACGAATAAAATTTTTATATAATATTCTAAGCCACTATCACAAATTATAAAATTATATATTTACATATAATTATTATTATTATTTGAGAGCACAGGTTATTGTATAACACCAGGGTTTCGTAGGTGTGAATTATAATGAGTTATAGATAATTGCAGAAATGCAATTAATAAATTATTGTTATTCATATTAATATAGGAACGACCTACGAAATCCTAAGGAAAAATCAAATTATATATATATTTCAAATATAGTTACATAATTTATTAGTAAGTATAATGACTCTTTCGAACAGATTGAAAATCAAAAATTGGAATTCAAAGCACAAAGTAAAGTGGGTTCGTTGGACAATGTAAAACACAAACCAGGAGGTGGTGATATCAAAATATTTGACGACAAGGAGTATATCAAGCAGATGGGTGGTCAGTCGCCAGTTCCAGAAGGCTACAATCGCTCGCAGCAGGAGGTGAGGCCCCTAGTATTCCATTGTGTTGGGCCTGTAACAATTTTCGTTGACGTTTCTGCTTTTTTTTGTTCTTCTCCGGTGAAGGTCGCCATCATGTTTATTTCATTTATTATTTTTGTTTCAGCCACAATATTTGTACACATTTTATTAAATAGGTAACATAAAATGTGTGGTGTTATATATACATGACCATAAAATAATCAAATCTAAAATCAAACTAACAATATCACCTTGGTTGCATTTGGTTTTTGTTTTGTTTAACTTTTATTATTGTGTTTATTTATAAATGAATGGAATATTTGTTGTGATTGATAAGATTTATATTATTTAGTTTTTATACTTGACATATTTAGTATAGGTACCATAATGGCATATGGAAATAACTAGAGAACAGAGGTGAAAATAACAATGTGTAAACAACCTGTTCCTAATAATTGATTATGTATTCTTAAAATGTTATACTTACATTGAAATTTACTTTATTTATACTGGTTTTAAATATGTCAGGAATAAAAAAGGAGGTTATGTTGTTCAATACACTTATTCAAATAATTTGTTTTTGTGTTGTAGAGTCCCCTGCCACCGACAGCGCAGCAACCAAAATCTGACGAGAACTTGAATCAACAGCAGTGTTAAGGAACACTCTGGAAGACTTCTTATTTTCAGAATTCGACATTAATTTTTATAAACAAAAGTCCAATTTTGTACATTTTTTTTATCTTTGTTAATGTTTACAGTTTGAATGATTATAGAGTGCTTGTTATTGTAGCAATGGATGTTCGGGATTATGTCATATTCAGCGTCAATGATATTAACATATCTTTTGACAATATGTTGTGAATTATTTCATTAATCACTGGATGTTTTTATTGAATCAATTATTGTTACAGTCTATGTTGTATAAGTGTAACGGAAATATAAATCTAGGTACAATTTACATGTGTTTTATGCGTAACATTAAATATTTGCTTTTGATAATAATTAATTTGCCTAAATACATACTTAGGTAATAGATATTGATTTCTAAGTATATCATGTGCGTGCCAATACTTAAGAATATTACCCGCTACTTTTCTAATAGCAATTCCTTGGTTTTGATACTGAACATTTCTGTTATTATACTTACAATAACGTTGAAATACAATCACTTAAGATGCCACATTGTAATCTTTATTAATAAATATACCAACAAGAATATAATAAATTGGACATCTACGATAAGTTATTGATATTTGATAGGAACACAAAAATATTTATTACCGCTAATGTTAATAATTGGTATTTGAAAGTGATATTTATGTAATTCACTATTATTAAATTGTCTGTAGCTATAATATAATAAGTATTGGCGCTTTTACAACACTTTTGTTACCTTCGTAGATGCGTGCACTGATAGAGTATATCCATAATTTGGAGTGTTAAGGTAGGGCGAAGTTCTTGACACAGCAAAAAGTCATTAAAGCAACACAATAACTTTTATAGAGAAACTCATAATAATCAGATTTATAGGAGATTGTTGACCTTGTCTGAACTTTTAAAGATAAGGTACGGAGGTAGACTTTGTAAAAAGTTGCGTATGTACCTCTGTCTCTCCTACTTCTCATATTTCTCTGTCTCATCTTACAACTGAGTTTCTAGGAACACGATATAGAAGCATGACATTTTAGTCCTTTTAAATGACAACTTATAAATAGTATCGCGGGCGTCGCATGATAACTTGATGCCCGTGGATGATGATTACCACTTACCATATCAAGTGGAACGCCAGCTTGTACGCTATTCCAGTTACATAAAAAACTGTTTTTAAATTAATCTGAAATTAAGTAATCTGGAACGTGTTTATATTTGAGTTTGCGTAATGATTTTATGGATACTAGTACAGAAAAGTTTTTTAATTTTATAAAACTGGATATTTGCTTATTTGCTGTGATGAGAATGGAATGGGCTCGAGATCGACTGACCAGAATCATAATATGATTATAATAATAAGTAAATGTTTTATAAATGTAATTACTATTACCTACACCTAAGATAGCTTTAGATAGTGCGTATCAATCTATTATAACAATTTTCGTTATTATATTTCCGTTAAAATCCCATTTTTGTTAAAAATGTTCTTATTAAGTTTAAAGTAGGCAACATCTTTGTGTCCTTATAAGGACGCGTATTGTTATTTTACCTTGTATTTGCTTTTAGCTTTTATAAAACACATCGCGCCTTACTTTAGAATTTGTCATTCAAAATTGTCTCGAGTTACATTCATTGTGTTACACTACTTTTTAATTTCAGACTCATAACCTTAAAGGTACCTGCTGTTTGTTATTATTTATGTTTGTGCTAATTATGATACATACCGCAAATTGACTCGAAGTTATTAGTATATTGAAATATTAGTATATTATTTCTAAGTAGGTATAATATTTTGTGAAAGCAAGGAACGTCTATATACAATTAGTAATCATTGAATATAATTTAACACCAATTTCTTCGTTTTATTTATACGCTAATTGTACATAAAATATAAGAATTCAAGTTTCCATTTGTTCAAGTTATTGTAGTACTTAGTAATTGTGCTATATTAGAACCTACAACACTTTGCACAACACGCACCTAGTCCATGGATTTAATGCCGCCTAAATGTGGGTAAGTTGTATGTTTATATTTACACTGTTGTATAACCAAAGGGTATCCGGAGGGAGATTTTTTAGTTCAGATATTCATAATTTATGAATATCATATACTTAGAAAATAGAAATTATACTTAAAAGAAATCTCCCATTGGACACTATATATTAAGTAGATATTTACTTACGACCACACACACTCTTATCTTATTTATTGTTTTCATAGATGTAAAAAATATATATGTAGAAAATGTCATAAAATTAATTATTATATGAAAACACTTTTACAGTGTTCTAAATTAATTACAAATCTCAACTTTAAAATCCATATAATTTTCTTTCAGGTGTATCAGTTATTATCTATAAAGTTTTCTTCTAGAAATAATATGTAGATAGATATGGTTTCATAATAGAGAATTATTTTGTTTAAACAGGATCAATATTACATGTCGGTACACGAATGGGCAGAGGAAGAACGCCCCATGTCCCGATGTCGTTCTGCAAGAGCGCCGCGGACGCCGCGCACACTCTCTCCTCGGCGTAAATACGTTGCTTCGTATGAGAACGAGGATGAAGACCAGGTTTTGCGTAACAACGAGAGAAATAGACGTCCATCTATGGCACGACCGGCGAGTGCTCGTGACCCACCTCGTTCCACTTGCTCTAGACGCACATCCATCTCACAACGCCCTGCGTTCACTGTATACTAATCCAATGATGGATACAGTCACAGGCCTTACTAGTTAAGTATATGTAGTAGATTCACTTTAAAATATAATTATGAAGAGATATTATTAAATAGGTTTATAAAAAGATTTGTCAATTAAAAATAATGCAATCGTAGGTCATAAAGACCATTGTAGATTTTCTCGTATGGTAGTTGATTAGAATTAAACAGAATAACATTTATTAAATCCTTCAAAAATAAAAAACGAACAATTATGTAATATTAAAAGCAAAACAAAAATAGGAAGTCTATAAAAACTCATATATATATACATAGTCAAGATAGACTACAACTGAGCGTAATGCTAAAAATATATATTCCAGCGCTGATTTTCAGTTGGGCCGTTATACAGTTAGAATACTGTGATTAGAGGATAATAATAATGTTCGTTTAGTATATTATTTAATATACTAAATGCAGCAAAACTTAGTTTAGGTTAATAAGTGAAATATGTACCTAAGACTTGATGAAAATTATTCTAAAGCCTTATTTTATGAGATTAGCAAAACTAATTTTCATAAGATGACTCCCTCAATATTTTCCAATTAGATAATACAATTAAATAGAGCGACAGTTTTTTATTTTTCATTTCACTATTTATCTTATGTTTAGGTTCCCTAATTAAATAAGTAAAATATAACTTGCTACTTTATCCGTCGGTCCGTCCATTTATATGTCTACTAACATTATATTTCTGAAATTACTATTGCTATTTATTAAAAATTTGGTATATTTCAGATTACAATAGAATAATATTATAAATTATTTCTGTAGAGAATAGGCTACAATATTTAAAAATAAAAGGTCTCTTGTCAGGTTTCTCAGAATTATTCACCAGTTTCCCTTCTGTTAATTAGAGCAATAAATCTTACAAAATATTGCAAGGTACCGAAATAAGTCGGTATTATACATACGATAGATTTATTCTATGTGTAGTTACTGAGTTTTGATGTTATTAATTGTACGAAGAATTTACATGAATGTGGTGTTTATAGTATTAAAATTTAACACTATAGTAGTTCATCAGGGAGTTATTAGTTAGGGAGTTATAGTGCAAAGTTGCTAATAATTTTTTTTTAAAACAAGGAAGGTAGACTTGTCAACTGGTTTGCGTGTATACCTCAGCCTATTTCAGCCGACAAGATGAGTTTCAGTTGACGGGTGAGATAAACCAGTGAAATCAAAGGTTACGTGGCATGGCATCTTAGTCCTCATGAATGGCTTAGCATGAATGGTTTCGCGGGTGTCACATGATGCCCGTAGTTCTTTTCATGTAAGTACCTAAGCGACTGTTACTATTTACCATCAGGTAGGCTATTAGCTTGGTTACCATTCCCATTACATAAACATTTTTTTTCAATGTGTTGTATAAGAGAATTATTAGCAACTGGTACCATAATAAAGCTGTAGATTTTAGTAAAACACAAGATAGGTTTATATCTAGTCAATATTATAAGAAACGCATTATTAGGTGCATATAAAATTAGAATGTCGTTAGATTGTCGTCGTCGTAGGTTTAATGTTCTTCTTTATCGTTCTTGATGTTTAACACAGAGGAAAATAGTGCCTTTGTCCGTATTGGAATATTAATCAATTGCGTAGCATAGTAGTAGTGTGAAGTGTGAATCGCTCTCGGTCGGTGAGACGAAACGAATGTTTTTTGTTGTTTGATTTCTATTCTCAGCTTTTTCAGTATATGTAGCGATTACCTAAGACCTCGGGTTTATGTAAACACATGACACTTTAGAGAACACGTGAATTAGTGATACTTTATATAGATAATCAATATCGAAAGCAAGAAAACACTCGTGTATTTCGAAGTAAATAGTTTGTGTAGTTTTAAAAAATAAATGTGTGTGTCACAATTATGTTTTTTATTTATAATATTTTAAGTTCTAAAATTAGCTCATCCTTAGTTTCATAGATTTTCGGTTTAAAAGGAAATTTAAGAGGCAGTAAAATTACAGTATACAAGGTTTGATATCTGAGTCCTCGAGAATGGCAACGCAGGAGTGGTATCAAGGATCACATGATCAAGTGATGTCCATAGTGCTGTTCATGTATATACAGTTACCACTTACAATCGGGTGAAGTTGAAGAGGCTTCATAGTCTTTTCAAATATTAAAAAAAAATAATTGAGGATTGTAAATTTTCTCGATGACATGATGACTCATAATAACATCGTCGTTTATAATAAAACAACATATTTTATATATTGGTTTAATTGGTGTACATGGTTATGCAATACAATAATATTTATCAATGTTAATTCATTAAATTATGGCACTTAATACAAATAAAATATTTTTAAACAATACATACACTGTTTGATAATGTCTTATAGAAATATATAAATATACATGATTTATGAGGTTAACTTAAATTAATATATTCGGAATTAATTTCTCAGTCGTTCGTTGCGTTTCGTAAGCTAACGAAAGCTTCTTTTTTATATATTTTTTAAATATTATTTTAAGAAAATAAAGAATTAAACCCAAGTTCAACATATTGATCCCGATCGTAAATTATAAATTAAACCTTACGTGTAATAATATTAAAAATAACTTAACCGTTTGTACCGATAGGGACAACTGACTCGCCATAATCTAGCCAACATCTTAAACAGAACGCGCAGGGATTAAAGTCACCTTATAAAAATCTGTTTTAACATTCGACAATACAAACTGTTGATAAAAACTTACGACTAACAAACTCCTCTAAATATTACTGTGAAAGGTTACACTAACTGCCAAGCGATTGTGTGGAAGCTGTCGCCAGAGTGCCTGCTCACCTCAACGCTATTTAAGGCATGTTTGTTCGACTAATACAGCTATTTAGGAGTTCCCATTATAATAATAATTACATTTAAATAATTTGTGGAAGCAATCCCCAATGCTATTCGTAATTAAGTAGACGTTACAATGATTACTCCGACTGATGCAACAAGCGCACACCCACAACACAATAACATTATTATAACTTTAATATACATACAAAAGGCCACATCACATCATTCAGTCACAAAGCGCGAATTAACACTAAAATGGGTAATGACATGTCAATTTTACAAAAGGAAATACTTATTACAGTTACGTCGATCTATTATTTCAACTAATAAAATTATTAAATATTGCAAGTATACTAATTATTGTATTAATTACGTCTATTGTACAATTCTAATTTGTGTCAACTTATGCTCATCTTATATGTAATGAGATTTATCGACGAGCCTCTTGTTTTACTTTAAACTTCTTAACACTGGCAAGTTTCGATATGCCACGTGTGCTGGAGAAGACACAGCATACAATAATTTTGATACTACGATTTACAACTAATGTTTCACCGACGTTGTGACTCGACAGCACGACCGACTACGAGAGGAACTGTATCGTGCATTCAAAAGGTTTGTTACAAATTTTGACATCTAATTTCACTATTATAATGATAATTCTCATAGAATATTATGTACACAATATCTTATACACTCGTACCAATACTGGAATAGACGAGTACGAGAAAGGGTTACACTAAGAGTATTTATTTGCGAATATCAATATCATATCATCGAATAATGTTGTTGTTCCAACTTGAGCAATACAAATTCGTACCAAAATATCATTTTCTCTGCAAACCGCATTTATGCAGTGATATGATCATTATATCACAATATCTTTATACTCATCTAGCGGCAAGCAAAACAATGTAACTTTTTTATATAATTAGTAAAGGATTGGTAGTCGTTGCATGTTTGTACAATATCATTATTGCATAAAGTAGGTGCCAATCAAAAATCTATCTTTATAGCATACTTTTTTTGCTCTGTGCTGGTCTGAGGAAGGAGTGAGTGGATAGGCGCATGCGTTTAGACATGACTCATGTGTTAAATCCAGCACCGTTGTTATGTGATAATTTATTTATATTTAGTAGGCTAGCCTTAAGGACAGGACGATGGATCTGGGTATGTTAATATGATATACCATGTTGAAGCTACCTACAGATGTTTTCTACTGATAGTAAATCCCACAGACCGTGTGAGGAGGGTGATATAGGAAAGGATGCATGCGATTAGTAAATATAAAGATGTGTTAAAGCACGAATCCGTGGGGACCCGATGTTATTATATTATTATTGCATGGCTGTCATGCAACAACTACATCCATTTACTTAAAAAGTTATTAGAAAAACAAGCAACGCGGTTATTTCTATAAAATATATGTGCAAGTATAATACACTATATGCCAATGAGTATAACATTATAATACAAAAACTCTAATACTATAGGGGTAAATTTAGACATCAATTCATATTGAAGTAATTTATCTAAACATCGAATTAATATTGGGTGTCATTCTCTCAGCAACGTGATTTTTATTAATTTAGCATGACAAGGAGTTTGCTCTTAAGATTATGAGATTTTGTCCTTATAGAATAAGTAAATAATTATCTATATCACATCTCATTGAAGAATACATTTACTGTTCATGAATGGCAGTGCTATTTACCGCTACATTGCCAGTAAATGTTCAACAACTTGTGTTTCTTTCATATTTAATAATATATACAGTCCAAGACTTCATCGTGCCCTAAAACGTAAGACTAGATTTTACTACGTAATGAGAAATGCGAGAGTCCATTTCAGTGATGTCAAAGATTCAATACGAGAGCGAAAATGATGATTAATTATGTAGAACGTAATATAGAAATTAAATAAATTATTACACTAAAATACAGGAGTAAGAAGACGACGACGAAGGATACGAGTGATAATACTAAAAGTTAGAAGTTATTATAATATATACATCGATAGTACCGGTACAGTTCTCATCACTTTTTCTTCTTTTTTTGATAAATCGTGTCCAACAAAACCGAACATCACTGTTTCCCTGATTCGATACCAAAAGGTTCCTTATTTTACAACACTCTTGGTTTACGCTTTATGATTTAAATAATACTGTGATCTGATTGGATTTTCAAGGAACGAAAAAGTGTCATCTTTGAGTGGAGTACAAAGATATTCTCCTCACTATTTTAATTGCTCAAAAATCCAATAATACTTGGTAACCATAAAGAGTAAACTGTTTAATATCACAACACGTCTTTTAACATTTTCCAAAATTACCGTTCAAACGCAGCGGCCGGTAGCACGGCTGCCAATCGTGCTACGGTTGCCAATATCAGAAGTCCTCTAGCAGGATAGCGTCGCGGGGAACCAAACCCTTCTGTTCACCCCGACAGCACAGTAGGTACTGGTCGTCGACTTCCAATATCAATCGAAGACGTTCGCCCTCGTTAAAAGCTAAGTGGCCGGAATCTGACGGCAATCGGTGCCACAGTGTTCTCACGTATCTGTAATAACATACCTATTATTAATTCTTCTTTGTAAAATTATGGTCACCGCCTCTCAGATAAGGAAAATATGTCTGTTTCTAGAGATATAATTTGATTAGAGATCTAACGTTAGATCTCAAGACAAATGTCTTCGCTAGTTTTCGCTTCTTGGAAATAATCATGATAAATTCATGGTGAATTTAACACGATGGTCTAACTCTTATCATCCTCTACCGGTGCCCCCTGCCGGCGTAAACTGTTAGCGCAGGCGGGAGCAACGTTCTGTTATCAGCCATAAGAAAAAAAATGTAGGAGTTGGGAGGCCTCACTTGTGTTTGTGGTTGGCGGTGGCTTGGCGCTGCGTGCGCGAGGCGGACGAGGAGGCGGCGCGGCGCGGCGCGGGCGGCGCGGGCGGCGCGGCCGCGCGGCCGTACGGCAGCGACGCGGGCCGCGGCGCCGCCCCGCCGCCGCCCGGCCTCGCCTGGTCCACGCGGGACGTCCTGCGCACACACACACGACGTGCCTCAACCACAGAACGACCGACACGCATAACGCTACGTATCATAATAATTAAAACAAATATTTTTAAAAACATATATCGCACCCTCGCTCTCGTGTACGATGAAAATGAAGTCAAAAACAAACATGGGAGCCTCGGTTTAATAAGTGGACATTTGTTAAAATATAATAGGAACTTTATATTCTATTTTTTTAATTTTCTAAACATATATCATTAGTACAATAAAATTGGACAATCTATTCATATATCTTAAGATTTTTTTTATATTGATAAATATTAATGATGAATATATGTAATATGTATAGGTAATTTCACTGACTGTTCTGTTGAGGACAAACTATCAAATGTAGCTATTTGATATTTGTATAGTTAACAATTGCCTAACATATTTATGAAACAATGGTTATAGTTTTATTGCACGTAGTGTTCTCGATTTTTACTCTGGAGTTTAAATACCTGTTTTCACCAAAACGTTGTTAAACATGCGTTTGAATCGCAGGTTGTTGGATTTGTTAATAAAATTTGAATTTAGGGAAACTCATGACGTCCTTAATATTACAGGCAAACCATAGACTTTTACTGTTTGTTTGTTTTACGGAGGGTTGCACATATATCTATTTCTTTTCTATAGGAATATAATCGGCTAATTTACTATGGCTTTTACGAATACATACACGTATAGATGATAATGACAAGCAAATATTATTATATTCGCACATCAACAAAACTGTAGTTGGAAATCACTTACAATCACCATCTATACTTTATCTATGACTAATACCTTTATAATCGGATCGGAAGTGAATACTTCATTGCTCGAACTGAGGTTACACTTAACTCTTCGTTAATCATCATATTTAGTGGTGACTACAGTATAGTTTTATAACGATGATGGGTCCACCATGCAATTAAAGCGAAATTTAATATCATTAGAAGCGTTATATGCCATGCGATTATTTTAGGTTATTATATATGTAGACTGATGAATATTATTTTAAGTATTTTTCATGTGATTACTAATATTGAATGAGTCAATTCTGTTAGTGTGGTTATAGTATTAGTTCCACAGAGGTGTGTATAGTACATACGGCGTTTTCTTTATACTGGTCTTTTTAACAAGTCCCTCGTTTGATACTCGTGGTTTGTTCATGATGATTTTCTTCGATGTTACTTCAGGTATAACTCTGGAGATATTGTGCATAGATATTGAAATAAAGCAACTACAACCACTATGAAGGTGAACATAAAACGCAAAATGAATTTTACCAGAAAAGAAACATATTAAAAATAAATAAAGTGCAGATAATATAATATTATGTGCGTAGAAACCGCCACCATTTTAATAATATTCTATATAAAATTCTCCTTTTTTGAATGTCTTAGGGCTGAACCAAAAATTGTGAAGTGTACGTGCATTTAATGCACAAAACACAACCACAATGATCACACAAGCGATCGTCATCCATTATGTTGTATAGAAAAACGGTAATTGTATTACATATTACCATAAATATGGAGTCCATTCAAATACAACGAATAAGCAAAATAGATAATTACTGCAGAAGCAAATCACACCTATATAGCACAATGTGAAATATGGTATTTATTTTGGTAATTTTATCCGTGTATACAGTTTTGGTCCTTGTAGATGGACGTATGTTTAGTTACCTGTTGGCGGGCTGCGGTCGCTTGCCAGCAGTTGTACCGACTGTGGCCGAAGTGGCGGATGGGGCACCTGAACGCGCGGACGAAGTGCGGGGTTGCGTTGCTGTTGGAGATGTGCCTTTACGCACCGGGACTGGTATTCCACTGTGTACAAGCAAATATTTTGCAATCCATGTTAGAGAGAGAGAGAGAGAGAGAGTAAGGATATAATAAAATCTTCATTCCCTTTCATTATTTTTTTAATGTATGATAATGAAATTTTGCACGATGGTTTCGAGGGGATACCGCGTGGAGGTCAATATGATATGGTACATTGGGGTTATTATATATATACATTACTAACAATCCTTCTGCCGAACCCTTTTCATTATTATTATATCGTAAGTTGGTGACATTACAAATTTATCAGAATTAAAACAGTATTATAGTAAACAGATTTCTATTTGGTGTTAATATATCATCTATATATGATAATGGTTTGTTACGTTAATTATAGATTTTTATTACATAGGTCAACAAATAGAGAATGTCGCCATTTTTATTTTGCAATTACGTCAAATGAATTAATATCAGTTCTGACCCTGATACGGCCATTATGTTATAGATATTTATTACACTTATTAATTATGTATCATTGATAATCAGGACACTAAATATCTATTATATTCTCTACACAAAGAAAGTGTTAATAACATATTGTAAATTATAATTATGTTATTTGTATATCGGTCACTGGAAAACAATGTCATGATAGGAGATAGTTAATCTACTTAATCACCATATAATAGTATACCTACAAAACATTATTAAAAAACAAACGAGACGAAGTAAATGAAAGAACATAGTTTATAAGTAATTTAGTAATATGACACGAAGCATAAATATCCAAAGTAAATGAAATTTTAGATGAAATATTTATATGTTTATGTTTATGTTTATATATATACATATATAATTATACTAACCGGTGCGTGTTCTTTGCCGGTGACTGCAACGTTGGGGCTTGCGGTCGTACTGGTGAAGACACGGGCCGAGGTATCTTTGAGCCCCGAGCAGCCGCGGGTGATGTTTCTCCTGAAATATATATTTTTTTTTGCAACTGAAATGGCAAACAAGCTGTCTTGATGAAGTACAGCAAGCATCGCATTGTATATATTAACTGTACGATGTATCTACATCATATCGTCATGGGAAACCTGTGCTATTTTGGAGGAATATGGTATTGATTGTCTACCCTGTAATTTCATTGACATATCTCAACTTACAAACTAAAACAAAGCAAGTGCTTCATAGAAGAAGATGAGTGATACTAAAAAAATTACTTTATACAAAGTATGCTACTGAAAATTTTCAGTATTATTATTTCGAAACAGATCGATTTTGATCGCAAGCTTTACCAAAGCAAGGAGAAACTAAATAATTATGATTTGCTACTAATATGGCATACAAATAAGCACCGTGATATGTTTCTAGAATGTTTACACATTTGCACAAGGAATTACGGATTAAAGAAAAGGGGATCGCTTGGTCTAGCTGAAAATCAGGCAAATTTATATATAACGTTTAAATAAGCTTTGTGAACCACGATAACTGCAATATGTATCTCAACAGCGCTTTATTTACACAGTTGAGGAATTCATAAATATTTATGGCACATCTGAATTTGAAGTTGCAACTACTATGGTTATATGACACATACACGTTTTAGAATAAGCACAGTGCCTAATACCACCTAATATGTAGATTGGATTTTATTATAAAGCATAATCTTTTCATAAAAAATGAGCAACATAAGGAAAATATTAATTTATTTTCGCATGACTAGGTTCAGTAGATATCGCGTATAAACTCACAAGTTTACACTAGTGTACATACCAGGATAAATGAATTTACGTTTTATTCGCTGAAATATAATACCAATGTAGGCATATAATATACTAAGTAGGTACCAAAGAATATTTTAAAAACTAAGTTCTTTTTATATATTAAAAGTTCTAATGTAGAGTTGTATAGATGTGCAGTAGGTGTATTACAGTAAGTGTTGGTTTTGGATTGGATTAATTATTTATAGTTAGCTATAGGCTTAACATTCAGCTACGCTTAACATTCTTCATTGCAGCTTCGCTTTTATACCAAAAATGTGTTATAACGTGGAAAATGTGAAGCAGAAGAAGTTGCGCGGGTCAACTAGTATCTAATATATTAAATAATTCATACAATGATTTATTACCTGATGGTGTAGTGGGACTTTCGGCATTACTCAGTAGCTCCCACTTGAGTTGCAACCTTCGGAATTTGCCCCCTGAGTTTGCGCTTCCGTTTCCTGTATTCCCGCTCGCACAGCTTCCTGCAGATCCTGGTCGCCATTGTTCCTCTCCACTGCATTCCAACTGAAAGATAATATCGTATTAATGAATATAATAATTATTGCACTGGATAAATGGCTATAGATTAAAAAAATGTGAGGTAACAAAAAATTAAAACCAATTTTAAATAGACACATTACAGAAAAAGATCAAGATAAAAAACCATGGTACGTAAAACTTCTAAAATATAAAAAAACCTATATTAGACTAAACATAGTATTTACATTTTAGAAACATTCAGGTCAAATCGTCAGGGACTAAATTTCAATTTACTAAATGACAAATTTCACTGAAATAGACATTTCTGTGGTACTACTTCACTAGCATTTTTTGTAATTAAGTATATGTATGTTTAGTATCTTGCAGTGTAAATACGTCATTAGTATTTTGTATATTGTATATGGTATCATACTAGTCTTTAGGTGACTACTGTTATTTGTCATTCGAGTGATATAACTAAAACCACATAGTTTTATTCATTCTTACTATCTTGTACTATGTTTTCGTATCGTAAAAACTACAATATACAACTAGTAAATGAAATTGTATACTAAAAAAAAATAAAGAAATATAAAACTGCTAACTACGCGAAAAATAATATTATGCAAAAAAAATATTAAAAGCTAGGAGGCATATATAATTTTAATAATCTCGGTGATACTAATTCAACGCAACTATAGAAAAAACGTCTACGAAACGAAGCACACACAACAATGTCCACACAAAGCTTCGTCGAGTTACCTTCGGGTCATTGCCTGTTGTGTTTCTGCCACTTTTATTGTTTTCAAGACTATCAGTGTAATCATCACTATCGTCGAAAACGAGCCGATCGAACGCTTGCATAAGTTTTGAACCGAGTTGTACTCCGGACCATCGGCGATTCGTCTCTAACTCGATCCTACTGTTATTCGGACAGATATCGTAACCGATAGATGTAGGATTAACGCATGACCGAGGTCGATTCTTTTCCACTGTTGTTTTTACATTAGCAGAATCATTTAATAGATCTGGTGTGGATGGCTCTTTGTGTCTAGGCTCTTTCTGTCTCATTATTACACTAGTTTGGCAATCGTCACTTGAAAGTCCGCTCGACTGCATCGACCGGACCAGTTTCAGCAAGTTCCGTTGGTTCAGTGTTAGTGGCGGTGTGTTAATCGAAGTGGGCTGTTAAATACATTAAAGTTTTTTAGCACCATGCATCATGCTGTTCGACGTTAGTTCGATAGGAATCGGTGGCTCAATGATGACAGGGTCGTTATGATATTGATCGTCGTTTATTTGCATTTTATGGAAGCTGTGCACGAACACAAATGCCAAAATAATCCAGCATGTACTATTGCGAATGCTGTGAGTAGTGATTCGTAAGCACATGCAGTAAACAATAAAATGCAAATAAAGCGATGTTTGCATTTGTAGGCAGCAGTCGGGTATGAAATAGCGGTTTTGATATGTAGACAACATGTTATCGTAACCTACTTACCCAAAAACAATTAAATACCGTGATTTATTTTTTATTCAAAATAATGCATAAGTATCTATTGATATTAGGAATAATTTAGCTTACCCGGCTTGCGGCCCGCATATCGCTTTCGATCTTCTTGAAACTTCGATGAAGTTCCCGCATCTCAAACATGAGATCCAGAGAAAATGGTAATAATTTTAGAGGCTCCAAACTGTCCAACAAGGCATCCAAAAGTGTTCGGCAGCGTTGCTCACCGACGCAGCCAGCGAGCATGATGGAATCAGGGCCGTAATGCTTAGCTAACACTGATTCTCTAGTCCTTACATATGATACCCAAGCATCCACTGATTGTGCACTGTTAATAGATAAAAAAACAATTGTTAACAACCTATCAAATGGGAAAGTGAATGGGATTCACAAAATGTTAAGAAAACTTGCTAATTAGTGAAGGGCCCATTGTAATCATATACGCTGTCCTTGAGATTAGAGTACAAAATGATATGTACGTACACAATCGTATAAACAAAGAGAAAAACTCAAATAAACATTCTTTTGATTTCAGTCATATAAGTACGACTTGTACAAAATGATATGTCGCTATCGCTTTTATTATGACTAAGATAATAAATACACATCGCAACTTTAGATACACTGTGTATAGATATACCATGAAGTGAGAGGAAGTTACAATTATATAACTACGTTATAGTCAGTAATGTATACTTAGACATAAATTAAAAACTGTATTTCAAGTACATATACTTACTTGAGTAAACCCAGAATGAATGCGTTGAACTTGACGAGTCCTTCTGTTACAGCATCTTCGCTGTTAATTCTCAGCACTAGTTCGTTGAGAGATTTCGTAATAGGTCCTAAAATAAATTTAAACGTGATTGTCATCATAATCAAAACTAGAAGCTAACTTCTAACACTTCTATATTATAATACAAGAAATCCTAATGACAAATTATGCATTATTTTATTACAAGACCTGACTGTAAAGTACATACACTGTTAATTCTGAATTTGGTGGTCATGTATTATTATATAGTAAGACGCTATTGCTAATGAGAGATGTCTAAACTTAGAGATTATCTTACAATTTAGGAATTAATTTAAATACTTGTGGTTATAAATTACCTTGTCTTGCCGTTGCCTCGACCATTTGCCAAACCGAATTATTAACGGCTCCAAATGATGTTTCAATACTATCCTTGAGTCCATCTCTGAATATTGCATATAAAGCTGGGCATAATGCATTAAGTGCTATTTTAGCACAAATAGGAGACTGTTTGGAATCTCCTAAGAATGCTAATTCAGCCTGATCTGTCGCTGACGAAAAGTGTTGAATCAACATTTCCACCGCATCGGTAACATTTGAGACTAAGGCTGAAGAAACAATATTAAGTTAATATTAATTAACCAATAATTTTAAGTGTTACTGTATTTTTAGCAAGTCTGATAATTCAATACTATTATTGTGTTTTTTATACACACCTCTCTTTTGTGATATGTCAATGAAATCATATTTTCCTCTCCCATCGTGCAGTAAGGGACTACCAAACTCATCTGGACTTACTTCAGCTTCTTCGCAAATTGGTATTTCAGCAAGATTTTTGCCCTGTGTATGATTAATTAGAATAAGTAAGTGAAATATAATATGTAACTGTAAATTTATAAAAATATAATATAGTTATGTAAAGAGGCGGTCAAAGGATATAGAAAACTGATATTAAATCAGCAAAATTAAAAGATGTAAAAAATAAAATTAAGCAAAAGATATAACATACATGAATAACGACAATTATGAAAAAAATAAAAAAAAATGAAATCAAAGAACCAAAGGTACTCACAGAAGTCAACGGGCATGATGTGCGTTAATAGCATTCTAAAGTAAGGAATGTTACCTGGTAGTGTCTCTGTGCTATGACTGCTGATATATTAGGTGAATTTGGCGGAGTAGTACCACCTTTAATTTCTTCTAATGTCTTCAATTGAGTTTGGGTAACGTCAACTTTTGCCTCTGATTTTTGGGCAAAGCTCACAGATTTCTTGCTATTACAACTACTGCCGTTAGATTCTATGGACCTCAGATTCTCCTCTTGCGAACGTTTCATTTGAAGGAATTTGGCCACTTGACTTCTTACCTTTTGTACCTGATTTTGATCCCATTCATCCACGTTTTGACATTGAACTCCGCTTTGCTTCAAGAACTCTTCTAATTGTTGTAAATCGGCACTGCTGATTAATGCACTAGGTGGCGGAAATTCGGTGTATTCTAGTTTTTTTGTTCTTGGCTTTGGTAATGGAGGTGTATGAGGCCTATTGAATTTTAATTCATTAGATTTTCCACTTTCTAGGCTGCTTTCAGTACCAACACCTTCATCTTGATAATATTCATTATAATCAGCATCTTTTTCAGCTGCATCTAAAAATTGTTGGGACAATCTCTTGGCTGCTATATCGTTATTCTTTCTATAATCAATATTTTGATTTTGTAAATAGTAAGGTTCTTGAAGTGATCTTCGTTTCGATTTATGTTCTGTTACTGCAGTCATACAAACAACAGGATCTTGTGCAAAGTCATCTATTTCAAACATACTATAACGCTTTGCATGCGAATTTGATTTACGTGTTTTATCCATTGATTTTCGTAATATACTTTTTGGTAGCGGAGGTCTTGCTGGTGGCACTTCGCCTTGTTTTACAGTTCTATTCTGATCTGCTAAGGAAAGTGATCGTTTAGGAATAGCAGGGTGAATTCTTTGGCCGTCATTGTTAACACAGCTGGCTTCGGAGCTTGTTGCGCTATCATATCGATATACAAATAACGGATTAAAGTTCCCTGCAGGCGCTGGGCTGTTCTGAGCAGAGGAGTCTGTTAACATTGTAGATGAGCCTCGATATCCTGAAGATGGCTGAGTCGCTGTACTAGAACTCGAAGATATAGCTGTATTATTTCCAGTCAAATTATGACAATCACAGCTCATCGGTCTGTTCTTAGATCTAGAAGACGGCGACGCGTTACAATATTTATTACATTTTGATAAAGTTTCTCTTTCCTTCATATGTTGCATTACTTCAGGCAGCTCTGATAACATTTGTTTACATTCTACAGGTAATAAGAAATTAAGGGAATCCCAGTCTTTAATATGTCCGACACCTTTCTTTTTTAATAACTCAACGTCATTGCAGGAAAATGGCCTCTTATTTTTATTTTGCAATTTGTTTCTCTTATTGTCGCTACGTTTTGGCGACAAATTTACATGAACAGGATTGAGATATATATTTGGTCTTCCGTTTAAAAAGCTAATGTCTGGCAATGTATAACTGGGATATAAAACAAATACGGGTTTTTCGTAGTCTCCTTCTTTTAGTTTTTCTAGAAACGATGGTTCAACTACTTTAAGTAATTCACGGTCATGTGATACTTTAGAAATTTGCATACAAGATGTTTGCATACTTTTATCAATTGTAGTAGTTTCAAAATGCGTAGATGTAGATTTATTATCACAAGGTTCCCGCTGCAATAATTTATTCATTCTTGTGATCTGTGTACCATCTGACTCAGAACAACTTGAAATACTAACACTAGTAGCCGAAGATTGTGAAGAATATGACTTGCGATGACTTCTTAATTTAGACGGACTATTTGTGATGTTAATATTTGTTCTCTTTACATGTGGCTTATTTACAGTAGCATATAAGTTTATATCGCTATCACTTAGTTTAGCCCCATCCGTTGTTTCTTCTTCCTCGATCAAAACATCATCGTATACTCTATTTGTATAAGGATGGATTTCCTCATACACAACGGATGTAATTTCTTCAACATTAGTCGGCAATTCCGCTTGGGGTCGCTCAGTTGTTTTAAAATCTATAGTTTTTTGTTCTCCCATTGAATCTCCACTTTCACTAGAGGGCCAACATTCTGATCGATCTAATTGATCCATACTGACGATACCATCATTGCTCATGCTTTTTTGTTTCATGAACAATTTTACTAAACTGAATTGTTGTTTTGGTTGACTTTTATCAGATGAACTTTGATTATCTGTAGAAGATGTACTCATTGGCTCTGAGTGTTGGCTTCCGTGCGAAGAACGATTTTGTGATACATCGTAAACTTTCATGCACATCGAATTACCTGTTAATCTTTGGTTGGTTGTAAATGAATCAATCTGAAAATAAAGTTACAAAGACTAATAAGTACACATAAGTATTGTAATAAAGTTGATTTCATATAAAAATTACAGTTTTGACTATTAAAAAAATATTTTAATACTTACCGTTGAGTTGCTTAAAGCAGCAGAATTAATGGAACTGTTCATTAATTTTCTCCTATAAAGATTTGGCAAACTTTGGCTTTTAATAACAGAATTACTCATTTCATTTGTAGCATCAGTCGTTTCATTAGAGTCTTCATTATTATTTCCAGATGGATGTCTAAAATTTGAATTAATTTTATTTGCGATATTGTACAAATATAATACATATAAAAATATTTATATTTGAGTAACTTACCTTCTTAAAGGAGATTGACTGTTTTGTTTTTTAAGCTTACTCCAAGTAGTTAATCCTAAATCGCTTCTAGCCATAGACGTAGTTAGTTTATTAGTTATTTTTTTACATCTTTCTAATAATTCTAAATTCCTGCGCGTTCTTTCATCATTATCTAAAACTACATTCTCGTCTTCCTTCAATTTGTCTGAAAACGATGAAAAACATTTATAACTTATCGCAAATGACTAATTAACGTCCTAATAAAGATGAATCAGTATGGCAAGTTTGTACTTGTAATCATAAGACGAATAAACGTTACGTCACTGTCGTTGATATCATTTACTTATGGTTACTTTCCATTCTAGTTCAGAATATAAATAGTAATTTATATTAAAAAAAAACTTTTCATGTAAAACATTTACAATTCTATAATTGTACGCATTTTCTTATGTGTAGATATAGTTATATAAAAAAGGATCTCTTTTTAAAGAAAATAAAAGTAACAAGACTTTTGAACAATAATCTTCTATATCTAGATCTAGTGAAATAAAAATGAACTACCATGTTTTTGATTGACGGTTGGTTCAATACATTCGCTGTCCTCGGAATAAGTGGTGAGGCTGCCCTCGAAAGCGATGGTATAGTTGTCCTTATTTGCCTGACATGTTAGGATGAGTTCCTGTTCTGTAGGTAATTCGCAGTCGAGGCTGTCCACGCTGAAATGAACGCCGTGTGCACCCTCCTTTACAGGCGAGAACAACAACTCTGACTTGCATATTGACATCGTGTTGATCGAACCAACGGACTCTTCTCCCTGATTGAAATAAAATACAGAATTACATACGTAACAGATAAATTCTTATGCACTTATAGTACATTGTGTAGGTACATTGTAATCCATATGTACTTAATATTATTGAGTAGTTGTAATGTGTTTACTCGTTTAGTAACGAGTTGCTCATTAATTATATTGTGTATTTAAAAGCTTATTTTAATTAAATATAACAATAGAAAACCATTTACATGAATTTTGTGAGAAACATGGGTCGTCGTATACCTACATTTTCCTACTTTAATAGCGTTACATAGTGCACGTTCTCGCTATGGTTCTAAGAAGATTTCGAAACGTATGTTCGGATATAAACATTTACGTTTAGTTGTAATTCTGGACGCGGATGTAAGGCGTTTCTAAATTAAGGAGTTGCAGTCCGCTTGCAGCTAACCAACACATACTTTGGATAGCTATATCTGTTTATACTTTTTGTAATCTATTGAAGATTTCGATAATGCATTATTTGATATCAGATTATAAAAGATTAGCATTGTTATATACGAATATTTCTGTCATATGTTTATCGCTGTTAATATGTAGAACCTATTAAATTTATTTATCTATCTGTAATTCTATGAAATTTAATAAGGAATTTTGTTTTCAAAGTAATGATTCAATAATTAAATTGTGTGTATGTACAAAATAACAATATGGCGGCGCAACATGAATGTTATCATTAATTCAAGTAATTCCTTTTCCTGCTACAAATGAGGTCACTGATGAAGCTGTGTATACTGCAAATAATTTCTACAAATGAAACCAATACGTACTAGTTGAAACATCACGAATTTACTAGTTATTTTACTATTATTCTACTAATGAGGGTAGGCATCCATTTTTACTTTAATCTAAGAACTATACCTTCATAGTAGTAGGTATTATTTGAAGTCTATAATGCATTTAATAAATACATATTCTCTGTATTAGGATTTCTTATCCATTTTATATTTACAGGGAATTAGTAAGACAAATTATCTATTGCAAATCTTGTGAGATCTTGTGTAGTTTGTCTAAATACGCAGTTAACTATGAAAATAGTCATAATATCTATGTACTTCTTAAGACAATTCTTGTTAAGCCATTCGTGTTTATATTACAAAAGCAAAATATATATTATGGGTAATAATAGAAATAGATAACGTATAAGTAAGAAAAATATTGTTTTTAGATAATTAATTATTGACGTATTATACACTATTACTATCACTTACTGAATAATATCCATTATAAGAATCCCAATCATAGTCGGTCACGCCCATTTTTAGAAATTTATCAGTCTACTGTCTTTAACACACACCACACTATTCAATCATTCAGCAACTTTTAACGAGTTGTCCAATTCATTATGATTGTCCTTATATTTTATAAAGTCAACAGTTCACACAGGGTCCAAGTAAATGCCCTATCTTACGCAAACACAGTTATCAATAAGGTCCCTCAAAGAGTCACTAGTATTGAAATATGTGATTGACTTCATCGCAAGTATAACGTAGAACACTCCCAAGAGCCCTGGACGCGACTGGTGCTGCCCGTATTAATTTTAATATTAGCCACTGCATGTGTTGCTCAAACTTTAATTCACAGTTAAGCAAATAAACATCGACTTAACTAACCCACGTGCTCACTGTGCTAAATTCAGAACACGACTGATAAAGTTCATTTGTGTTTAAAATGCTTGCAAAGGGCAGCGAACATGCATGTAGTCAATTAGCATGTAAAAGTTATTAAGGGCTGTCTAATTATTCGTTGATTGTTGTAACACTTTCAAGGTTAGTATCACTGGCACTTTTAAAGCATTTAGGAGCATTGTAAGTAAACATCGCAAACTCTTGTGAATTGTGAAACGATGCAAATAACTGAATACTATATTTGTGTTGAGTTTAATTTGTTCATATGAGTTATAATTTATAGGTTTGGAGTTCTGATTGATTTTGTGTAAATTTAAATTATTGACAATGTGTAAATTGAACGTAGTAGAAAAATTGGTAGTAAAACAACTGGATTATATTTTAGTAGGCTTGTACAGTTTGAGAACATCTGACTGAGAGGAGAGACTTCATTGGTAACGCACACATGGCGGCGGCATGTGCACGAGCACACATACTGACAATTAAATATAGCGCACTCATACAGACGTATCTAGGAGGGAATGACTGTATGACCGGCGGAATAACGAGCATGGTTAAACTGATTGACGCAATTCAGTGTGAACGTTACACACACTTGGACAATGCTCTTATTTTACTACTGCTACATCCCGTGGGACGAATGTGCTGGGGGCGCTCTGTAGCAAGATTAGTTCTGAATACGAAAGAGCTCTTTGGCTTCCGAGTGTCTTACTGTGTCCAAGGTCACTGTACTTACATAAAAATAAGAATGCTTATTAAATGGCGTGACGATAAGAAGTTTTTAATCATAAAAAAGCTATAATTTATTCTAATTGATTAGATTACGTATTATAAGTGCATCTATATGATTAGATATTATTATAGGTCTTATTTATAATATATTATCTAATATGAGAACACTTGCCATTTTTTTTGCCAACAAGGAATAAAATTTAGTGTAATCATTTTGAAAAATGTATTTTTCTTAGTTTGGTATGTTTCAATTTAGAATATATATTCCATTATAGAAATGTAAACTATCTTGACAATATTTGTTATGATAGTTTACTAAAAATTTTAAGACAGCTTATTAGTTGTCTTTATTATTTTGTACGTTTCAGGGTATTTCAATTCCGCAAAGAAAATTATGGAGTGTTCGAAAACTAATGTCGCTAAATGCAAAATTACCGGAGATCAATTGCATCAGGTATAAGAAAACCATTTTACCCTAGTTTTAACTGATAGTAATTTTAACTAAGCGCTCAATGAGGTAGAAGAAGCTAAGAACTGGCCTCGAAATAACTAACTTGACAACAATTCCAAAAATCTAGGGAGGTTCTAGAATGATAAATGTATAAATTGAAGCTATTGCGATTGAGATAGACAACGTCAGTGTAAAGTTTGCAGAGTATCACATAAAAGACAGTGCTAATAAAAATATGGGGTGAATAATGGAACAGCTATGATAATGATTATTTAAAATGAAATTAGCGAGTTGAACACTGAACATCAACGCGGGCGAACCTGGAGACTACTGTTGAAACTGATACTGCTCTCGAACTGAAACTTTTCCATCAGAGAACTCGAGATGCTGGCGAACATCTCGCCACGCGGGTTGGTCTGCAATACATCATGTGGAAAAATAAATAAACCACGCACCAGGTTAGGTTCTATGTATGAACTGAAAAATAATATATTTAGGTATAATAAATAAATGACGATGATTACGAAAATATGTCGGCTATGAATAAAGAGGAAGGAAACGATTTCTTGTTTGTTTGTAATGCATAAATACAAAATTTTTAACATTTTTTCATCTAGATACATAGCATTATGAGGAAATAACATATCTTGAGAAAGCATTCAAATCATTCACTTTTATATATATAAAAGTGAGTGATTCGATTCTTTGTTAGTTTTTACTGTATAAACACAAAAAATAGTCGATTACAAAAAACACCTGAATATAGCTGATTTATAGATCAAGTGGACAGCGATGCGGGATACATGTAAATGTTAACAATATTTGACATAATTTTCGTAATTAGGATAGCACCTAGTTAAAATCATTAATAAATTATAATGTGATGATTGCCTAATATTTAGTTATTTCGGAATACAGTTGTTGAAACACGCCTTAACAAGCATTGTAATCATTAAAAAACAAACAATGTATCTTATTCCACAGATTATGCAAAAATATGAGTACAGAATTAAATGCATAGTTATTCTTGCCCCACATAATCTATGCCACAGCCCTACGATTACGGTATATAGGAATTTGATAAGGATGTGACAAGTGCGTTTATATTGAGCGTGGTTATCATCGTTATCACAGTTTTTTTATATTTTACATCATAATCACTGTAATCGTTGCGTTCCGTTGCTATGATTGCGTTCATAGGATAAAATAATTCGTTTATATGTATATGAAATTTAATTCTAAACTGTTAAAGTAGAATAATAAATATCTAAATATAAAATTTAAACATCTGAATTTCCTTACATGCTTACACATACAGAAGAAACGGGTGATTAAAAACACAAAACATTTTTTGGATTTATTCATTGACTAAGAAGATTATTAAGTGTTATAATAAAATTATAACGAAGATTACTGAAAAGAACTCCGAAATATGATTTTCAACACCGTCATTAGTTATTAGATTTCAGATGGTACTGTATTACAAAGGAGAATGGAGGCACATATCTTTGATTGGTCTTTTGTGACTGATGATGGTGATTTAGCCATAGATTGGTCGGAAAGGTTTGTTAATGTAAGATTTAACATTTTTTACATATAAATAAATGCAAAATCGTTATGACAAAAAACATCTATAAGTACTTGTATTTGTGTTTCATATAATAACATATGGAGCAATTAGGATGAATGTTTAAAAATAATACGTTGTTAAAATACTACATGTAGACTAAAGAAAGTTGAGAAAAATATCAAAGAAAGAAGTGAAAGGATTATTTTTGGAAATATTTTTAATGTGTAACCTACTATTTTGTTTTAAATAACAGATACAGTCGTATATTTGCTTTTATTATTGTCGTCGTTTATCACCAATAGATGGCGTCTACTAACATACACGAGTACAAAGTACAAGAGTATAATTAGTATTTACCTACACAATATAAAAACTGTTACATACTGTAACAATAATATATAATATTTTTATATACTAAACAAATAATGGGAATAGGACGTGTGCCTAATTGATATTATTTAAATCTTTGTTGTTCATATTCCTTAGGTAAAAAGTAACTATAATATTGTTAATACTGGAAGATTGAAATGATTTTCGCAACTTCCAGATAGATGCCTTTCGGTTTAATGAGATCATACAGTAATTATACTCATAAATAAATAATAATATAGTCTTGTTATTTACCAACATACCTGTAATGATACATATATAAAGCAAATTTCTTTGCAGGTATGTCAGTAAATACATGTGATATCATATCTTATATGAATAGAGAAAAAGCTAACACAATAACATTAGAGTTTTCAAGTACGGATACTAAATAACTAAATATTGTGAAAATCAATTGCAAATTTCCAAAAATACTTTTGCACAATATCGTATGGTTATCTATACTATCATTATTTCAAATGTATGAACTTTAAACTATGTTTACAGAACAAAAACGGCCCTAAAACTACAGAGCAATGAACACTACGTTTTTTAAAAGTTATAAATACGTAGGTATTATTTAGTGCCGTTATTGTATTAACAGTAAATTTAAATTTAGAATATATCAGTTTGATTTTTGCTTTATATGCCATTATACGTTCATATATATTTTTATAATTTACGAACCAATCAAAACGTTCATTTTAATAATAGACGTGGGCAGGTACAATATACTCCTGGTATTATTAAACTTATTAATCTTTCAGCACCGCACCATTGTTAACACACTGAAATCTATACATATAAATAAAATTGCAGTGTCTGTTTGTATTATTGAAATAACCGTTTTTTACGAAATGCACATGAATATAAATATACACCAAATAAAATATAGTACATACACCAAATTAACATGTTTTACAATTTTTGTCTGTCTGTCTGTCTGTTCCGGCTAATCTCTGAAATGGCTGGACCGATTTTGACGGGACTTTTTTTTGGCAGGTAGATGTAATAAGGAGTAACTTAGGCTACTTTTATTTTAGAAAAATAAAGTAAATAAATACAGTATATATATTATAAATAAAATAAGGAGTAACTTAGGCTACTTTTATTTTAGAAAAATAAAGTAAATTCGACGCGGACGAAGTCGCGGGAACAGCTAGTACTGAATATAATGAAAAACATTCCATCACAATAATCGTTCAGTTTCAGACAAAAGGAAATTTTCTGCTATTAAGTCATGTCACACGAACAATATAAAACAGTACAATATCAGAGGACTTTCCTGTTACACACACTTTGATTGTTTTACGAACTATTTGCCGATGTTTTCTTTACAGACTACAAACTGGGGTTTTTCAAGAAGTAGTAGAATGTACTTTAACGTTTCTTTGCTTGCCTTTACCTTAGCCTTAGGCAACGCGCACGTGTCAATTTACCATCGGATGGACCGTATGCTTCATTATCATAGATTGATATAAAAATATACTTTAAAGAAATTAGTAGACTTATTTATATATTTGTGTGTAAGTAACGAATGGTTCACGATTTTTAGTATCATTAACACGTTGGTTAATTATATAATATAATAACGTGCCACAATTAATAATTATATTATTAATGATGGCAAGTTATTATATTATACTGGTCAAATACTAATAATCTTCCTACTAGAATATATCTATACTTAGCGACAAATCGATTTTCCGTATACTGACGTAAAATGTAAATAAATATAATAGGTTCTGGCATACTGTTACTAGCAGTTTTTAAACATTTGCACTAACAGTGGTCATGAGCTGACTGCAGTAACAGTATATAAATGGCGGTAGGTGCTAGCATTTTTTTCTACTACCGTCACTAGATTGTTCAGCGCACTCATGGTATCCCTACACTTATTATAACTGGATTTCACGCAGATTATAATTATAAAGTAGGTTGAAGTTAGGATATTTTTAACTTCAATCACCTCCCGTACTACTTATTACCGTATACACAGTAAAATACTGAAGGCTTAAAGCAGTTGTTGTTTTAAAACAGCTGATGTCACAGAAGAACTCGAGCTGCGAGTTGGCTTGATTAACAGACGTAAGAGCGCTGTCAGTAAAGAAATAGGAATATAAATAGAACTTTTACTTAGTATTGTTAATATCTAATTACGTTGATTGAGTGTCCGGTATTTGGTTAATTAAAAAATATAATATAACACTTCATTATAAAATACAACAATAATTTTTTTTTTCTAAAACTGCCACCTGAGATGTTGATTTTTGCAGGCCACAACAATGTCTTCGTTTCAACAGAATGGAATTATGTCCCATAGTTATTTTTACAAGTTTTTTACACATATAATATTCAACATTTCCTTTTTTGAAGCAGTGAGAGATTTCTTGAGCATTTATCGGTAATTGGAATCTAACTTCAACAAAACAAATTCCAAAGACGATTGATTACTTAAACGGAATCATACAAAGAGTATATTTCTCTTTGTATGATTCTGTTAGATATAATATAATATATAATATATATACATGTAATATAATAGTCTCCAATAAGTAGTTTCATAGTTATTTTAAACAAATATATTATTAACCTTAAATAGGTTAGTCATAAAGACCAAGCAGTTATAACTCATGAAATTAAACCATTTTCACCGAAAAACAAAGTTGAAATTTGAAAATAAATGTTGTTCTTTATGAAGGCAAAAATTTATTTTCAAATTACTACTTACAGTTGTTGATACAATTCACTGTACACAAATATAAATGCGTTAACTAGCCAAGTCCCTATGCAAACACTCCATACCATAAAGAATATAGTAATAGTCGACAATCAACACAGCGCCATCTAATCATTTAGAGCTTGAGTTACTGATACTGAACAATGTATAAATACTTAAATGCATTTTTTGTTAATAAATATAGAAAACAACCAGCCCAATACAGACAATCATACTAATTTTCGTGAATTCCAGGAATATAAATGTTTCGTGAATAGAAACGTTTGCACTATACGAGATATCGAACCCGCGAGCATCAGAAACTAAGGTGGTGTGATATGGTTAGTTTCATAAACTCTATAGCTGACCTTGTTTTGACGCTTTACGACTAACCCTGTAAAATACAAATAATAATAATATTTTAAACATAAAACATACAATTTAAGTAAATATAGGCATTCGATATTATTAATCGTCTATTGGTTGGTGGTAATACTACATACGGGTAATTATTTCGAGACTGTTGTCAGTTTTGTTCACTGTCATTTAATAATTATAAAACACAACTACGAGCTATAATAACCGATAATGCTAATTATATAATTTTTAATGATTCTTTTTATGTAACAGAAATGCAAAACAATCGACGGCCTATCTTATGACAATGCACATCTGACGGCCTATTAGAGGGTGATTGCGATGAGAAGTGGCAACTATTGCCTCATACATGAACAACATCATTGCTATCCCATAGTCACGCGATGCGTGGTGTGGTGCCCCCCATTTTTGCCATTCCAGAAGACTTGAGACCTTATGCTTGTGTACCCTATATTTTCACAGATATACCTACACGTGAATTCGATAAAGGATGGTAATTACCATTACCGAATTATCTTGAAGAATTGTGATTTGTAACATCGCTTTTGTACATTTCCATTCGTATTTTTAAACATTTTATATTTTACCTAGGTAGATTTTATTTGTATAAAGTCTACCTAGGTAGACTTTATACAAATGTTTTTATCTAGAACTTACGCAATTCTAACGCTAAGCCGCTTGTTTAGTAAAATGCGTTTAGGTTGATGGGAAATTATGTTTAGATAAGCCAAGGAATTTACACAGTACGGAGGCATGATTCTTTGTATTTCAGAATAACAAGGAGCACAAAGCACAGACATCACGGGTGTCACATGATAACGTGATGTCTGTAGTGCTCTTCCTGGATGTAGGCGACGGTTACAAACTACGAACAGGCAAGCCATCAATTAGGATGCCATCCTAGTTATCTAAACTAATCAGAACGTCGACACTCACATCGTGCGCCCTTTCATCGATTATGGCGTCGTGTGGCAAGTTGGCGGTCATGAGCAGGGCGTGTATATCTTCGGTTTTGAAGCTTTCCATGTCGGCTTCGGCGAGGTTCGCGTCCAGATCCCGGGCGATGTCGTTATACCGGGACGTGAACTCGAAGCGGGCGGCGAGGTCGCTTATACCCTTATAGGAGGCGGACACCGAGGACAGCACTGACGTGTGGTGACACGAACTGTCTCGAAAAATCGGGCTGAAACGCGAATAATAAAAAAAGCATTAGTATTGACATAAAAATAATTTTATATCCTAAACTTAAGGCAAGCCACGAAATATAAATTATACTGTTTTGTTATCCCAGATAGGATACATAGAGTCATTGTGAAATGCAACACTTAACAGGCCATGTTTCTAACGTGGTAGGAAATGAGCCTGTCGCCATCTCAGATCGTCATCGGTCATTAAGATATATATAATGACACAAAAAAAGTGTTCTTGGTGTTAATTAGGTTTGAAATAGACTAGATCACGACGTAGGTAGTTATAATCAATTAAAATAACAGAGATTCTTCTAAAATATTGCTTTACAAATAAAATTTTACGCAGCATTTGTTCTGAAAGAGAAGTGTACATAAGGATATATCGTTGGTATTCTATTTACTTGGATGACCGGTTCTACCTACCTACGCTGTAACCGTAATCTATCTTTACCCAGCCAGGTTTCCTGGCTGGGTAAAGATAGATAAATAAGTAGGAGGCATAAAATTTCCTTATCCCAACACGGCATCATAAAATATTAATTTTATTCATTGTGCACAATCGTGTCTGCGTTACTCATTCGTGTGTTATGCTCTTCCGTTTTGTATTGTAGTTATCGGAAGTACAGATTAGACAATGCCTAGCTGAGCATTCACAGATCACGACATACCAGTATATAAATTATAAAGCCAGGTTTGTCGATATCGTCATGAATTTAACTTGTTTTATTACTAGATGACCTGGCAAATGTTGTTCTCGAATGTAAATTATTTCTACTTAAGTAGATTTCTGGTTTCCACTTTCATCTAGGTGTTTAAAATTAGCATAGAACTTTTTATCAGGTTTACCTTTATTTTATTGTTTATATATTACATGTCGTGCATTATATATATTTTAATAAAAAATTTCATATAAATCGGTCAAGCTGTTTCGGATGTGTTCCTTAAAGAAACACTGTGACAAGTTTTTTATATATTAGAAGAACATTACATAAATATCTGAAAAATCGTAATTATGCTCGCATTAGGTCTTTATGTATACAGGCGGCGAATATCACACTTATCATCAGGTGGACAAACAGTTTGTTTGTAATTCCAATTGTATAGTTGTGTAGTAATATCCGTGAGTTCTTCTACGGGAATTAAGTGCCATCTGCACTCGACCCCTATCGACATCAGCATTTAAGTAGTCCGAAAAAAACTAATAAGAAAATAAAGTGTACTCACTTATAATCGAGAAACCACAAGTAACCGGAGTTGTCGCAGTGCGCGTCGAGGTCATCGTGAGCCGAATGCTGGCTCCCTGCAAGGCTGGTGTTGCTGTTGCAGTCCTCGTCCGTGCCCGCGACGCCGGGGCTCGCCGCCTTCAGCCCCAGCCGTGGCGGTGGCCCTGGAATGCAGACAAGGTTTCTGTTAAATTTACCTTATGCCTTACTTATATTTGTGTAATTCAATTTTTTTTTATCTATTCCTTTCTTTCAGCTACGACACATTACACACATACGTAATATACATAGCTTTATAAAGATGTAATATTTTATTATTTTAAGAAATCAATCAACATTTATTAAATTTCAATTTAAAAACAAAAACATAGATGTCCGTAATTACCCATAGCCCTTGAGGTAAATACGTGTTATGTGTCGACTTTAGTCGATGTCGTGTACTGATGGATCAATATCAGTACCTAATTGTGAATGTTAATATTTCTTTATTTGAAAGCTAGCTTTATCAAAATTTAATAAAAGTAAATGATACGGTTCTTATGTTTCGTAAAAATATTATTCACAAATGTATTTTATAATAAGTACCTAAATAACTCGGTTTCGGTTCAGGTTGTAACCTAGTTAACGATTTATTTTATTAGATGCATTATTACGTTTATCGTATTTGTTATTAATACAATTACGAATAGGTACCTACTATTGACAAGGTTTATTACAATAGTGGGCGTTAACCTAACAGACTAAAGATTATACCAGACAGGTCTCCACAAACCATCCACAAACGTGGGCGAATATTTACTTTTATTCTACTAGCAACTCGTCTCGGGTTCGAATGGGTGCAAGATTATTGTAAGTCTCAATTTTCAATAAACGAAGCAATTTCTAAATTCTATTAAGTATTTTTTAAGTTTATCTATTACCAAAACTTACTTCTGTATTAGCTTAGAAGAGTATTTTATTCGATAATGTGCTATTTTTTAAATATATAATAGAAAATGAAAATTCGTAGTGGTATATCAACTAGGAATAGTTTTCAAACAGTGCTGTTAAATACTTTTTGAACAACCCTATAGTGGCACATTAGGCTGTCGAGACCGAGGTATTGAAAGGCTAAAATGTAGTCGTAAGTACTGTTTATCCTGCAGCGCATGCGTGGGTGGGCGAGCTCGATGGACAACATGCCTTTTAGGGAATGTTGACGTGCATCCAGAAAGCAGTTGGGCACAATGAACACTGTAATACATCCAGTACTATACATATCTGGAATGGGGGTAAATGCTACATGTAGCAGTCGGTATAAAACAGTAATAAAAATCAGTAACTACGAGTGGAAGGCACAATATTTTTATACTTTTGATTGTTCTCGGTGCTCTAGTGCTCTAACACAACGCTACTATGGATAGTCGCGGGTTCAAACCTAGAATACTAGATTTCTATTTATTTATGAGTACGTCTATTTGTATTGTCCGTGTGTAATCTGCATATTACATATACATACGTATACATAAGTATATAGGAATTAATATTTAATTAGATTTGCCACTAGCTTATAAACATATACTAGGTAAACATATATACATGTATTGAGAGCAGCTTATTTAAGACTAGATGGCGTGGCGATTGTTCTAAGAGTTGTTATTTATATTTATCTTTACTATAAAAAAATGTGTCTAATACACGGTCGACAGCATTGAGGTCAATAATCGTCATGGTATGGTATACAAATATGCATTAATATTGGTATACATTGTATCGCCGGTACTTTAATGTTTTATTGTAATTATGCTACCTACGTTGATAATTACAATAATATATTGAAGTACCGGCGATACAATATATACCTATCAATATCTAATATGACGTTGTAAAGGCTGCGGAGAATCCTGAGTGGGGCCGGTTAGGAGCTTAACGTGATGCACGCTGACTCACCGTGCATCGCCACTAAATGACTGACTCTATAAACGTTTTTGTTCCCGTGTGACATAATTTATACATAAATTTTAAATTGAACATAGCTTCCTATTATACTAATATATTATATTAATGGTCACTAATCGAATGGTTTACCTACCTGCCCTAACCGTGTACGATGGTGTACCCGCCTTTTTTTATGTGGAGAAAATTCTTCATTCGGGTCTGAATGAGGAATTTTCTCCAGGGTAAACAGACGTGTGAAACTCTTACTCAAGAAAAGGTATTCCTGCGTAACGCCCAAGCTATAGCCACGGCGCGGTAGCAACTCCATGTTGTGCTGTGCTAACCGTATACCCTGGCGGGGTACCAATGGATGATAATAGAATAAACGTGGTCTGATTATTCAGCTTATAATAGCGAATTAACAATGATCGTTTCAAGGGGATCTCGTGGAGGTTGACCTAACGGGATACATCGCTAGCAAAGAGGCCCCAACAGTCCCAATTACACAAATAAGCTAAGTACTACTACTAGTATGTATTTCTGTGATTTTATGATTAATACATTTTCGTTCTTTCATGATAAGTAATGATAATACTATACATTCAAATTCAATTGAAACTAAACAATACAAATCACATTAAAACCATGTTCAGAAATACATATACGTAGTGGGTGTATACAGGCGGACTTGTTGCACTATATAAATTCTAGAAGTGTCTATTAATAAATTTTGTGGACATTCGATTTTATTAATTTGTATATCATTTGTGTGACATCTGTATGGTTTACCTATTGAGTCAGACAATATGAAACATCACATGATATAATTTTATTAAAGATTTTTTATATTTTATAGCATTTCATAATAACATGAGGCGATGCTGACTAGTGGGCGATGTTCTCAATTTACAAACACGGATAGAAATCATTTTAGCGTTGCATTGAATTGGAATTTTAGATTCGAGACAACACTTGCATGGCTGATTCGTAGTAGTTTAGAAAATATCTTACAACACTTTCTAATTTTGGATAGTTTCTTTTATCCTCTATTCTTCTATCTTCCTTCATATAAAAATACATGTACATAGGTGGAAGATCCTAAAATTACTTGAAAATAATCTAATAGATAATTAAATGACAATGAAATAAAAATATGATGATGAGGTAGCTACACAAGAATAGGAACTGTGATTGATAAGTTAAAAAAAATATACTTAGTAAGTACTTACTTACTCAAATTTGTATTTTGAAATAGATTTTTGTAAGTACATTACCGAAAATTACTTCAATAAATTGTAATCAAGAACATATAAGTACCTACAAGAATGTTTACGTAACTAGCCTGCCATTCACACTAACATTAGTCTATTTAGTAAATGGAGTAAACTGAATCATTACATTAAATTTCACGGAAAAGGTTAGTGAAAGTTTTCAAAAGATTCTCTGTTGTTTTGATAACACTACTCTTCTAATCAATGGCGCGAAGCCAAAGCCGTTTAGTGAAATAATGTCGCTTCCTATTTTATAAGTCTATTCAGAGATATATTTATTAATGTCACAAAAAAACGCAAATCCTGTAAATACGGTTAATACATTCATTAACCGTGTTTACAGGGTCTTATGAGTTTTATTATCTAAAGAAATGCTATTTGTGTCCTCGCTCAGTTCGTGCGTTCTATTTCTTATTCTCAAGGGAAGTGTCATTTTTCAAAAGGATTTAAGTCACTAGTGCATATCGAGATAATCCTTTGACTAATTATTATAGCGGATGTTATTGTACAAGTCTGTATAAATTTACCAGTCACATTAAAACTCTGATTTTACGGTTTCATCCTAGTTGATATTTAAATTTAAATTTTATTATTTTTATAACCATAAAATCTACTGTATCTACTTTATTAGATAAACCAAAAATATAATTGTAAGATTAGAAAGCTTTGCTGACTCGGTTCAACAGTTTTGCGCGCACGTGATCTAATAATAATTTGGGACGTTGCTAGTTAAGTAGATTATATACAGTTTGTAAAAACACAAGACTTCTCAAATTTCCTGGATTAAAATAATTACTCATCTACCATGGACTTAGTTTGGAAAAGTACCAGTGCTTTGCATAGAAAATTCTGAGTCCGCGCCTGTCTGAGTCTGAGTCTGACACACCGACTGTGTGTTTGTTTTTTACTGTACTTACAACACGTAATAATAATAATAATAGTAATCACACAATCAAAGTTTGAACAGACGATAATTTATTAAATATAGTATCGTAATACAATAGATTAATGACTCTACGCAAGTATCATATACAGTAGGCACGTCATATACGAGGACAGACGTGAGTAGGTAGTTAAACGTGAAAATCATTAGTTACAAGAGGTAAACATTAAAGAGAAACGCGAGGACTCTAGTCTAAAGAAGGCATACAAACTATTATATGTAAGCAACCTTTCACCTCGCCGTAGGCCCAGGACATTCCAAACATGGTGCGCCGGCGCCTCGGACCACCGACGCGACTGAGAAACGCTAATCGAACAAATACTATGTTCTTAGAATTTATGTGGGCACTGTGTTTCATACCGGGAATAGATAGTATTCACGATATGATATGCAATTTGTATTATTGCTGATAAATTTCTATGTAACTGTTATTAACACGATACTTGTGCGGATAAATTAATATCTCCTTAAAAAGCTACTACTTCGATACAATAGATGTCTACCTATGAGGTTATTAAAGAAATTTATCTACCTACTTATTTTATTAGTTACTGACTGTTTTATTAGGAATTCGACCATACTGAATTCGTTATCTGTATTCTTTCTTTCATTCTTCTATTAATTCTTTCTTAGTGAATGATGGATCACAATGTAATACGAATATGGTCCAAACAAGTTTTTAAATGTAGCCGTTTAAGTTATATATTTACAGATTCTTTAGTCGGTCTCAACAAATCAATTAATATTTTTAGACTAAACTATTTATTCGTGTTTATCTCACAGTAATTAAATCTATTTTAAATTTATGAATCCCTACACAATCTATACTTCCAAACAAGATAGCAAAATTACTTTAAATGTCATCCTGCTAAATTAAAACTTAAGTGGGACGTCATGATTATGATTTGTGATAATATGAATGAACGCATCTCAGCGTCTAATTGCATTATTTTTATGTACGTAAATTATTGAAAATAACCTATTAAAACAGAAGTTTAAATTTATCCCCAATATTAAATCTTATATAGGGGAT